AGGTTGACAAGGGATGGACCTGTGATGTTTAATTTAATGTGTCAACTTGGCTGGGCCATAGCCAGATATTTGATTAAACATTATTCTGGATGTCTCTGTGAGGGGATTTTTGATGAGATTAACATTTAAGTCAGTGGATTTTGTGTAAAGTGGATGGCCCTTCATAACCTGAGTGCACCTCATCCAATCAGTCAAAGGCCTTTCTAAAACCAAAAGACTGATTTCCTCCAAGCAAGGAGGATTCTGCCAGCAGACAGCCTTTGGACTTGATGGGCAACATCACCTCTTCCCTGGCCCATCCTACAGACTTTATTTATTTATTTATTTTTATAACTTCTCCTTTTTTTTTTTTTTTTTAAGATTTTATTTAATCTGGGAGCCTGATGCCAGACTTGATCCCAGGGTCCTGGGATCTTGACCTGAGCCGAAGGCAGATGCTTTACCGACTGAGCCACACTTCTATATGTGCCCACGAATACATATATGTGTGTATGTCTGCATGTCTTATCATGAACATTGAAAACAACACAGCTTAAGTTGCAGAAGTTTTTATGATAGTAATAATAATAAAATAATTGCTAACATTCATTGCACACTGGGTCAACTCCACTCACTCACCCTGTTCTAAGTGCTTTCACAAATATTAACTCATTCAATCCTTATTACAAATTTACAGGCTAGGTGCTGTAATTATCCCATTCTATAGTTGAGAACATAGAGGCAAAGAGAGCTTTCAAATAAACAGCTTGCCTCAGGTCACACAACCTGTTGTATTTGGGACAACCAGGATTTATTTTTCACATGTCACCTTTCATTGCTCTCTACCTTTTTTTTTATAACAGCTTTACTGAGATAATTTATAATTTATATACCACAAAACTCATTCTAAAATTCTCAAATGTACAAATGACTGGTACTCAGAGTTGGGCCACCATCACCACTATCTGATTTTAAAACACTTTTTGCCACTCCAAAAAGAGATTCCTTTGGGGCTGGATTTCTTTTGGACTCCCTTATATTATCCATCAATAGGGAAATAAGCAAACATATTATAAATGCAAATGAATATTATAGAACTGTTACAATGGTTCAACTAGATTCAAGGTGCTTAGTTAAGTTAGTGCACTTCATGCAATAGGTGAAGAAAAAAAAGAAACAAACACATGCAAACGCACACACAGGCAATTTGGCCCTAAATTTGACCTTGTAAAGTACAGTATGATGCCATGTATGTAAAATTTTTTAAATACGCAAAAAAACATATTATTCTGGGACATATATTTATCGTAGAAATATTAAAATATGGATTGGGGGATGCCTGGGTGGCTCAGTCAGTTAAGCATCTGACTTCAACTCAGGTCATGACCTCAGGGTCTTGGGATTGAGCCCTGTTCCGGCTCCCTGCTCAGCAGGGACTCTGCTTGTCCCTCTGCCCCTTCCCCCACTTGTGTTTTCTTTCTCTCTCTCTCTCAAATAAATAAATGAAATCTTAAGAAAAATAAAATAATGAAATAAAATATGGATGGGAATGATATCTGACTTTAAAAAAGAGATTACCTCTTAAGAGGAAGGGAGGAGAGTGGGAACAGAAAGGGTTCAAAATAGGAATTTAACTACATCTGTAAATTTTTTTTTTCTTTTAAGAGAAGCAATTCTTTTTTTTTTTTAAGATTTTATTTATTTATTTTGAGAGAGAGAATGAGATAGAGAGAGAGAGAGAGCATGAGAGGGGGGAGGGTCAGAGAGAGAGGCAGACTCCCCGCTGAGCAAGGAGCCCGATGCGGGACTTGATCCGGGACTCGATCCGGGACTCGATCCGGGACTCCAAGATCATGACCTGAGCCGAAGGCAGTCGCTTAACCAACTGAGCCACCCAGGTGCCCCTTAAGAGAAGCAATTCTTAAGCAAATACAGCTTAATGTCAACAGTTGTTAAATTTGGGTGTGGAAACATCAGTGTTTACATTATTCTTTGTACCTTTTTTTATGTTTGAAGAATTTCACATTTTTTTATTCTTTTTCAAGAAAGCAATTGTATTAGGGTTCTCTAGAGAAACAGAACCAGTAGGATGTGTATTCAGAGACTGGTTTTAAGGAATTGGCTCACACAGTTATGGGGGCAAGCGAATCTAAAATCTGCAGGATTGAGCACCAACTGGGTGGCTCAGTTGGTTGGGCGTCTGCCTTCAGGGTCCTGGGATCAGGCCCTGTGTTGGGCTCCCTGTTCAGCAGGGAGCCTGCTTCTCCCTCTCTCTCTGCCCCTCCCCCTGCTCGTGCACACACACTCTCTCTCTCAAATAAATAAATAAAATCTTTAAAAAAAAAGTGCCCGAAGGGAACCTCAATGGAAATTAAATTAGTGGATCTTGGGTATGCACCATTTAATTTTACTCAATATCACTAAGTAGCTCTTTAGTAACATTTGATAGCTCCTTTTCCTCCACATCCTCACCCACACTTGGTATGAAAAACTAACTTTGCAAATATAATAGTTTGAGATGATAGTTCACCGTTTAATTTGCACTTACCTGTACCTAGCGAAATTTGTGTATCTTTTCCTATGTTTATTGGTCATTTGGGTTCCTTTCCAGTTAACTGCATGTTTAATTTGCGTGTTTATATGCTATGTCATATTTTTAATTAATTTGAGGGCAGCTTAGGTATAGTCTGGTTATGGTATAAAGGTTGACTCATGTTTTAGGCACGGACAAGTGGGCGGATTGTGTGCTACTTGAATGAAGAGAAGTAGTGGAAAACAAATTTTAGAAGGAATATCACGAGTTTGCTTTCAGAAATTTGAGGTGTTTTGAGTCATCCAAGAGAACAAGTCTGTGCTGCAGAGATACATTTGGGAGTTGTCAGCTTATAGAGGGTATGTAAAGTGATAGCAGTGCATGTGGTTATCTCCTGAGAGAATTTGGAGTGACGTGACAAGAGCCCTACAGAATTATGCATTTGGGGAAGGAGAATCCAGAAAGGGATCCTGAGATGGAGGGCCAGTAAAATAGAGGAAAACTAGAATTGTGTGATACCATGGAAGCCAAGAGAGGACTGTGCTCTTCCCCTGCCCCCACCCCCATTTTTTATAATGGCTGCATAAGGTTTCACTGCATGGATGTACCCCCACTGCTCTTCTATTTGGGAATTTGGATTTATCCCAGTGCTTTTCTATTACAAACTACACTTTGATGAGCACTCTTATAGATTTTTCTTTTTTCACCACTCTGATTATTTCCTTTGTATATCCTCCTGTATGTAGTTTAAAGAGTATACCTATTTAAATATATTCACTATAAGTTGAGTATTGTCTTCTAGAAATGTTGCCTTCATTTATATTCCCACCTGAATGGGTTTGCTGTTTTCTCCATTCTGGTGGTGGTGGAAAGTGGCAAGAACTGGATATTGCATACCAACATTTTTATTGGTTGCAAAGTGTGCCATTGCATGGATATTTATAATTTACTCAATTATATTGTCTTCTTGTTTTTGGTATTATAACTATTGTTGCAATTAATAGTTTTAGCTAAATCTTCTTGCTCATTCTTAATCTGTTCCTTAAAATAAATTACTGAAAGTGGAATTGATGAGTCAAAAGTATTTGCATTTTTAAAGTTGTGGATACATATAGATAAACCACCCTCCATAAAGGCTGTGTTCTTCCCATCAGCAGAGTAGGGAAAGAGGCATCCCTAATCTTTGGATGAACCATGTCCAAATTGCTTCTATCAGGCTGAAAGCATCCTGTATGATTTTATAAGAAAACTGTGCTCAAATAAAATTCTTTTTTTTTTTTAAAGATTTTATTTATTTATTTGAGACAGAGAGAATGAGAGACAGAGAGCATGAGAGGGTGGAGGGTCAGAGGGAGAAGCAGACTCCCCGCCGAGCAGGGGGAGCCCGATGCGGGACTCGATCCCGGGACTCCAGGATCATGACCTGAGCCGAAGGCAGTCGCCCAACCAACTGAGCCACCCAGGCGCCCCAAATAAAATTCTTAAGCAATACCGCTTTTACACATCGCACTGGGGTTGAGGATCAAAATCTAAAGGCTTTTTATTCCAGCTGCATTATCTGATCTGGAATCTAAGAATTATTTCCAACAGCATTGTGTTGGCAACCACATCATCAGAGACATTTCCAGAGGGCAGAGGGTTTTTGAAGCTAAAGGCTTCAAATCACAGTCGAGGCAGTATGGCCATGGGGTCACTTGGAAAAGGTGGTCTCAGGTTTGACGTCATTTCGATGGAAAGTTCAGTCTTAAAAGCAGAGTATATTTGTTAGGTTGGATTCACTTTGGAATCGAGTTATTTCACATTTTGTCGTTTTTTTTTTTTTTTAAACATTTTATTTATTTATTCATGAGAGACAGAGAGAGAGAGGCAGAGGGAGAAGCAGGCCCCCCGCCGAGCAGGGAGCCCGATGTGGGACTCGATCCCAGGATCCTGGGATCATGACCTGAGCCGAAGGCAGACGCCCAACCATCTGAGCCACCCAGGCGCCCTCACATTTTGTCGTTTTAACGGTTGACCAAAATAGGTTCAGTTGTTGTTGAGACAGGTCTTGTAGATGCTTTTTTTTTTTTCTTTGAAAAACAATTGACAATCACTGTTTTATCTGCATAAAGTATGTATTTGGATTTAGAAGCTCCGCAGACACGGGAATCTTACATTAGCATCCGAGTCTTGGCGTGAGACGTGAGCGCTCTGACTCGTGCGCGAGACTCAGGTCTTAAGGGTGGCCGGGAGCGCAGGTTGACGTCCCCGCGGGCGTGGCGGGCGTGGTGGGCGTGGCGGGCGTCCCGAGCCCACACCCCACCATCCATCCGCCCGCCACCGCCCAAGGAACAGGCCACCAGGGCGCCTGCGCAGGAGTGCGCCCGCGCGGCACCGGCCCATCCTCTCCTCCTGGAGGACGCGAAGGGCGGAGCTTGCGGCAGGGCCCGCCCCCGCCAGCGGCGCGCGTGAGCCCTGGGCGCGTTTTCCGCCTCGTGAGGGGCTACTTCCGGATCCGGTGGCAGGTGCCACTGGTCCTGAGTGAGGCGGTGCTGGGTCGGCTGGCGGGCGGGCGGGCTGGGCTTCGGCCCGCGCGCGGCGGGCGATGCTGGGAGGCAGCTCCGGGGCCCGGGAGCGCGAGGCGGAGGGCGACGGGGCGGAGGCTGTGACGCCGCCGCCCGCCATCGAGTTCCCGGCCGACGGCTCGGACCCCAAGTATGACGGTGAGGGACCCGGAATGCCGCGGCGGCCCTCCCCTTGCACCCGTGCACCTTCGTTCCCGGGTGGGCAGGACGCAACGAGCGTCGCCGCCGCTCCGGGGCGAATTCGGCTGGATCCGGGCTCGGACCGGCGGCCCAGCGGTGCAGTGCGAGGGGCGGCGGGAGGGCGGTCTGGATAAGGTAGACACTTACTGAAACGAGTGTCTGCGACCCGCTCGTTTGTTTACGTTTCTGTTCCTGGTTTCCTCTTTGCGGACTCGGCTCCGGACGTGCTAAGATTTCCCTCAGGCAGCCTCCCAGCTCCGAGCCCCGTGGTTTTGTCAGACGATGAGAATGAGCTTTGTAAACTTGTGGAAGGGGACTTTGCAGACCTTATACGCTTTTTTTTTTTTTTTTTAAAGATTTTATTTATTTGAGAGAGAGAGAATGAGAGAGAGAGAGCACATGAGAGGGGGGAGGGTCAGAGGGAGAAGCAGACTCCCCGCCGAGCAGGGAGCCCGATGCGGGACTCGATCCCGGGACTCCAGGATCATGACCTGAGCCGAAGGCAGACCCTTAATGACTGAGCTATCCAGGCGCCCCTCACCCCTATTTTAAAAGTGAGATCGGGGCACCTGGGTGGCTCAGTCGTTGGGCGTCCGCCTTCGACTCGGGTTGTGATGCTGGCGTCCTGGGATTGAGCGGGAAGCCTGCTTCTCCCTCTCCCACTCCCCCTGCTTGTGTTCCCTCTCTCTCTCTCTCTCTTTTTTTTTTAAGATTTTATTTATTTATTTGAGAGACAGAGAATGAGAGACAGAGAGCATGAGAGGGGGGAGGGTCAGAGGGAGAAGCAGACTCCCCGCCGAGCAGGGAGCCCGATGCGGGACTCGATCCCGGGACTCCAGGATCATGACCTGAGCCGAAGGCAGTCGCTCAACCAACTGAGCCACCCAGGCGCCCGAGCCCTTATACGCTTAACAGTTCGGGTTAAGTGTTTGAATTTGTAGCTTCTCTTGTCTTTTGCTTTACTGTTAGGGGAGCTAAAGACTTCTCATGGTGGGTCGCTTTAAAGAAAAGAAATGCTCAAGGTTTTTTTTTGTTGTTTGTTTTTTAGGCTTTTGGTTACTAGGAGATACGGCGTTAAGTCAGGCAAGTTATTCTGCATAAAGTGAGGGGTACTTAAAACATTGACTCCAGCCAGTTCAAAGTATCCAGTATTTTTTTTTTTTTAAAGATTTTATTTATTTGACAGAGAGAGAGCGAGAGAGCGAGAGAGGGAACACAAGCAGGGGGAGTGGGAGAAGGAGAAGCAGGCTTCCCGCCGAGCAGGGAGCCCGCTGCGGGACTCGATCCCAGGACCCTGGGATCATGACCTGAGCCGAAGGCAGATGCCCAACCGACTGAGCCACCCAGGCGACCCAGTACCCAGCATTTTATTCAAATTTCATAGGTTCTTTAATTACTACCAGTTGTTTTGGCAGTTTTTAAAGCTAAATTGTGCTACCAAGAATGAATAATACTGATTCAGGGAGGTTTTTACTTTATGGTGCTTTGAATAGGATGATTACAAGGAATACGCGTTCAGTTGAAGCATGAAACAAGTATTAGCATGCAATGGATTTGAAGTTTCAAGCAGAGTAGAAACTGTTAATTTATTCCTTAAGTCCTTCGATCTTCACCCTTAATACTGTCTATAACTCTTGACCCTAAAGGGAGACAAAAACAGGCTGTGGTGGTAATTTAAGTAGATCATTGACAGAGGACAGTTTTAAGAGAACTGTTTTTTAATGAACTGATTTTTTCACATGTAACCCGGTGTAATATGGCAGCTCAATAATACAGGAAGTGTTATGTCAAAGGAAAAGCCTCAGCTGTAAACACACAGGTCTGTCTTTGCTGTCACATTGTGATAAGGTTTTCTGCAAAGGAAAGATTATTCTTGAAGGGAGTGCTCTTAGATAAACTTTGAAAAATTTCCTTCTGCTAGGTTGCTAATAATACTGATGTGTTTACATGTTGGCATTTCTTCCAAAGAGGCCTAGAATATCCAGACATAATTTATCTTTTTATGTGAAAAGTAAGGTATATGAAAAAATGTAGTTTCATTTTTAGTAGACGTAGAAACAGAGCAGTTACATGATTTCTCGAAGGTCATTGGTATGATGTGAGGATGTCACTCTGCCAGTTTATGGTAGAGTCAGAAAATTCAAAACCTAGATGTAACTCTAAAACCTGTGTTCTTCAGTCTGTTATGTAGGGACCAACTTTGATCAAAGTTCCTGTATTTATCCCCCCCTGTGGAATAGCATGCAACAGGAGAGCAACAGTAAGCCCATTTCCAGACTCATTGGTTTTTATTTCTTTCATCTGACAAGTTTTTCAGAATTTTTACCTCAGATTAAACCTCCAAGTTCCTCCCTCATTTAATAATGGACCATTTATTCAGATCATACTTTCCTGAGGAGCCTGAAGTAGGTGATCCCTGTCCTGTTTGTCTACTCCCCTCCTAGTTGGCAGAAGTCTAGAACTCTAATTCACCTAGGATCTCATCTCATTTCTTCTTCTTTTATAACAGGGTCTGACCTCGTCTTTCCTATTAGCCTCTTTACTCTTCCTCTTCTTTTTTTTTTTTTTTTTTTTTTTTTTTTTAAAGATTTTATTCATTTATTTGAGACAGAGAGAATGAGAGACAGAGAGCATGAGAGGGAGGAGGGTCAGAGGGAGAAGCAGACTCCCCGCCGAGCAGGGAGCCCGATGCGGGACTCGATCCCGGGACTCCAGGATCATGACCTGAGCCGAAGGCAGTCGCTTAACCGACTGAGCCACCCAGGCGCCCTACTCTTCCTCTTCTACTTGATCAGGACCGAACGGGAAGCACTCAGCTTTAGCTTTCATTTCCTTACGGTTTTACTCCTTCCTGTGTTTTGAGTATTGGTCCACTGCTCTTTTTTGAAGTTGCCATTTTCTTGGCTTAGTTGGTTCCTTTGACTCTGATCATTCCTTTTTTTTTTTCTTATTAAAAAGTAGGATTTCCAGGGATGCCTGGGTGGCTCAGTTGGTTAAGCGTCTGCCTTCGGCTCAGGTCATGATCTCAGGATCCTGGGATCCAGCCCTGTGTCGGGCTCCCTGCTCAGCAGAGAGCCTGCTTCTCCTTCTGCCTGCTGTTCTCCCTGCTTGTGCTCGCTCTCTTTTTCTCTCTCTATGACAAATAAATAAAATCTTTAAAAAAAAAAAAGGTAGGATGGGGTGCCTGGGTGGCCTAGTTGTTGGGTGTCTGCTTTAGGCTCAGGTCATGATCCCAGGGTCCTGGGATCGAGCCCTGCATTGGGCTCCCTGCTCTGCGGGGGAGGCCTGCTTCTCCCTTTCCAGCTCCTGTCCCCCTGCTAGTGTTCCCTCTCTTGCTGTCCCTCTCTCTGTCAAATAAATAAATAAAATCTTAAAAAAAAAAGAAAGGTAGAATTTCCTCATTGTAGAACATGTAGAACATTGTAGAACAGAAAACCCTCCCAACCCTAATCTCATCACTGTTGACAGTTCAGTGTATTAAAAAATTTTTGTTCACATTACAAAGTATGTTGAAATTATAGAAAAGCCTGAAGAAGGAAATTTAAAAATCACAATCTCATTAACCAGAGATTACTGTTTACATTTTGGCATAGCCAGTGAAAATTTATTTGCTGAGTTTTGCATTTAAAACTCTTTGTCAAAGATACCATAAATGGATTAAAGATTTCTGAGTTTGTCCAAATAAGATAAAAATTTAGAGAAATCATTTGGAAAAATTTCAGGAAATAAAGAAAAAAGGGGAAAGTCACCTGTGCTCGCTCACATCCCAGAGAACTCACTGCTAACAGTTTGGTGTATTCATTTGCAAATATTAATGAGAGCTGCTGTAAGCCAGGTAGATGCGTAGATATTAAGGATCTAACAGGCAGATTGAAAAACAGCATGTTCACCAGTTTCATTTCTTTTACAAATTCTTTTGATGTATAATTGGAAACAGAGGGGGCAGAGATTTTGTCTGTTTTGTTCTTTGTATTGTCTGTACATTTATATAGCTGTGAAGTAAATATATTTTAAAATTGTGAGCATAGTAGTATGATAAATCTTGTATGTTCTGCTTTTTTTTTTTAAGATTTTATTTATTTATCTGACAGAGAGAGTGAGAGAGGGAACACAAGTAGGGGGAGTGGGAGAGGGAGAAGCAGGCTTCCCGCTGAGCGGGGAGCCCGAAGCGGGGCTTGATTCCAGGACCTTGGGATCATGACCTGAGCCGAAGGCAGCCGCTTAACCGACTGAGCCACCCAGGCACCCCTATGTTCTGCTTTTTAAATGTGATGTTATATTACCATTTTCTTGTGATAAATTAGCCTTCAAAAACATTAAGACTATCACATTTTGTATTATCATTTTAGTTTTTGCCCTGTTGGAAAATAAGTTTCTCTTTTATCATTAGAAATAGTAATGGGTTTGACACCTGTATGCAAGTCTTTGTTGATATCTGGTTATTTCCTCAGACTACATCTACAGAAGTAGGATTTGTTGGGTTAAAGAAATACGTTAAAAAAAAAGTTTTGTTTTTTTTTTTTAAGATTTTATTTGTCAGAGAGAGAGAGAGTGCGAGCACAAGCAGGGGGGCGTGGCAGGCAGAGGGAGAAGCAGGCTTCCCTGCTGAGCAAGGAACCCCATGCGGGACTCTCTCTCAGCATCCTGGGATCATGACCTGAGCAGAAGGCAGACGCTTAGCCAAATGAGCCACCCAGGTGTCTCCCCCCTCCCCCCCCAAAAAAAGTTTTGATACATTTTGGTAAAGTGATGACTAGATAGGTGGTGATGGTTTGTATGAAACTAGCCTCACCTTCATTAGTATTACTGTTTTTTAAATTTTTAAATTTATTTTTTTATTCATTTATTTGAGAGAGAGAGAGAGAGAGTGAGAGAGGGAACACAAGCAAGGGAGCAAGGGGAGTGGGAGAGGGAGAAGCAGGCTTCCTGCTGAGCAGGGAGCCAGATGTGGGACTTGATCCCAGGATCTTGGAATCATGACCTGAGCTGAAGGCAGACTTTTTTTTTTTTTTTAAAGATTTTATTTATTTATTTGAGAGAGAGAGAGAGAGCACATGGGCGGGGGGAGGGTCAGAGGGAGAAGCAGACTCCCTGCTGAGCAGGGAGCCGGATGTGGGACTCGATCCTGGGACTCCAGGATCATGACCTGAGCCGAAGGCAGTCGCTTAACCAACTGAGCCACCCAGGCGCCCCAGTATTACTTTATAGCTTGCTTCTTTGACTTGATAATGGACTATTCATAATTATCTTTTTAATTAATTAATTAAAAAAGATTTTATTTGCCAGAGAGAGCGTGCACAAGCAGGGGGCGTGGCAGGCAGAGGGAGAGGGAGAAGCAGGCTCTGGGCTGAGCAGGGAGCCAGACATGGGGCTCAGTCCCAGGACCCTGAGATCATGACCTGAGCCGAAGGCAGACACCTAACTGACTGAGCCACCCAGGCGCCCCCACGATTATCTTTTTATACACCATCATTTCCAATAGCTGCATAATCTCTTATATGTGTATAATTTAGCAACTTTTCAGTAGTCTAAACAGTGTTATGCTGAACATCTTATAGACATGTATTTGTTGTGCTTTGTAAATATTTTCAAAAACCAGAAGTGCTGAGTCAAAGGTTTGCACATTTTGAATTCTATGATATATTTATTGAAGGTTGCAACACTTTTACCCCCCGTGATTGAAAATGTCTCCTTTATGTGCCCATAATAATACCATGTATTCCAGGCTTGAAGTGGTTACCAATCTGATAGCAAATTCTGGTATCATCGTTATTTTAATAATGTATGTCATTAGTTACTAGTTATGTTAAACCTATTTGAGTTTTAATTGTGCTTCATTTTATTGTAAGGGCTCTATATAAATTTTAGTGCCATTTCTTTTTCTTGTCATGTGTAGTGCAGATCTGTGTACTATATCTGAATTTGTGATTCATGTTTTAACTTTAAGATGTCTTTACATATAGAAGTTACCACATGGGCACATTTTTCATTCTTTCCCCGCCCCCATACTCAGTAATTTTTCATTTAAAATGAATAGCACGTCTGCATATTTGCAGGTGTTTTTTTGGTCACCTTATAAATCAGAGAGGAAATTGGTGATGAGGTCTGAACTTGGAAACTTTGACTTTTCTGGGTCCTCTATAGATTATAGAGGAGGGTGGGATAGAATATTTGAAATGGGAAGGATTTTTAGCAGGTGTAGGATGTATGGTCCCTGTTTCTGCAGGGCATTTCCAATACAACGGGTCCACAGCTCTTGAGAGTTTGCAGTGTCTCATCTTTTCCCTAACAGCCCTCTTAGAGTTTTCACTCTCACTCACACTTCCATCCTCCCTCTCCTGGTGTTGTATAATTGGCCAGTCCGTTTCTTTCTCTGTATCTCTGGGACCTGTTCTTTCCTCCATGTTTCTGTCCTTTATCTCCTTTACAAGGCTCTTGTTGGCCTGTCATCTGCCTCTTCCTGTCTACCTGTTAGATGTTTCCAGCACAGTTTCCTCAAACAGTTTTCCTTCTTACTGTTTGTGGTCGACTCAGTAACACATGAAATAAACAGTAAGCGAGAACTTACAACCTTCAGCTGGAAGTGCCAACTCATCCATCTGCTTGGTCTTGTGTGGTGGAAGGAGGATGGGCTTGGGCATGGTGCCGATCTGTCTGCTTACAAGTTCCTAAACCGCTGTGTGAGGTCAGTGTCCTCATCTGTAAAGCGAGCGCGGCGGCACTTCCTTCCACTGTTTTGTGAGGATTGGAGGCTCTGCACATGAAACAGTTGGCAACTCACACAGGTGGTTCCCATGCTTCCTCCCTCGCCCTCTTCCCGCCGCCAGACTTCCTTCTTTATGCTGGTGCCTGGGCTGTCCTCGCAAAGGAAGCCATCCTGTGCCCTCTCGTTCGCTTGGATGTTTATTTACTCACTTATTTATTTCTACCTTTGCACACACCATTACTCCCACAGCCCCCCCACCCCCCCGATGGCGTCCTTCCGCTAGTCTTGCAACTTCCAGAATTCAACACGACACTCAATTCTGGAAAGTCTGTCTAGATTAACCCTGCTCGGCTTAACTACTCTTTTGTGTTTTATTTCCTTAAATGTCAGTAGTTTGTGTTTCATTAATTAGAAGATGCTGTTTTGTCATTATGAGACATGTTTCCCATTTATTCACATTTTTTTCTCTTTTAATTTTTAGAATCCGATGTCCCAGCAGAACTCCAGGTATTAAAAGGACCCCTGCAGCAGCCGACTTTCCCTTTCGCAGTTGCAAACCAACTCTTGCTTGTCTCTTTGCTGGAGCACTTGAGTCATGTGCACGAACCAAACCCTCTCCGTTCAAGACAGGTGTTTAAATGTTAGTAAGAATAAATCTTGCTAAGTAAACCTTGTAAAAATACAATGTTGTTTGATGTTGTGGGTATGAGAAGCAGCTGGTATATAAACATTTGAAATAAGTATGAATAGTTTGTATTTCTTGAATGCATTTTATATTTTCTTTTGGGTAATTCTTATGACTGTAATTACCAGAGACCCCAAAAGATTAATGACTATAAAATTGGGTGTATTTAAATAAGTAAAAGATAGTTCTTTTGTCTCTATAACATGATCATTCATGTAATTTTTGAAGATCTGTCATGGTTTGTTCCATGAGCAGGTAAACATCATAGGTACTCATTCTGAGCTAGTTCTTTTTTTTTTTTTTTTTTTTAAGATTTTATTTATTTATTTGACACAGACACAGCGAGAGAGGGAACACAAGCAGGGGGAGTGGGAGAGGGAGAAGCAAGCTTCTCGCCGAACAGGGAGCCCGATGCGGGGCTGGATCCCAGGACCCTGGGATCATGACCTGAGCCGAAGGCAGACGCTTAACGACTGAGCCACCCAGGTGCCCCTCTGAGCTAGTTCTTGACCAAAGCACCCGACCAGCTGTGTTCCTTGTAGAATAGGAAACTTTTCCTCTACACACTGAATACTAATGACACCAAATGTGTGCTTTTCCCCCCCGTACTGACCAGTTCTCGGACACCAGCTGGTTGTCTTACAGTTCAGTTCAATCCTGACGCCGTCTGCCTGGAGTTAGTGTCAGATCCCACAGGTTGAGGGCTCAGTCCCACAGACTGCCTTCATTTCAGATGCCAGTTGCAAGCGTGGGTCCCCAGTGTCCTCAGGTTACCCATACTTGCGTCCGACCTGGCTGTAAATTGTTCACTGTCAAGTGTCCACCCTTGCCACTCAGGTTTAATAATTTGGTATAATGGCTCACAGTACTCAGACATTTATGGTTCCTGGTTTATTATATAAGCGAGGGTATGATAACCGATACAGGTGAACAGCCAGATGGAAAGGCACATAGGGTGAGGACCAGAGTACAAGAGCTTCTGTTCCCATGGAGTTGGGATGCCCCACTCCTGGTGTGTGGATATGCTTACCCAGAAGCTCTCTGAATCTTGTAATGGAAGGATATTTATGGAGGCTTCATCATGGTGACATGATCAGTGATTAACTCCATCTCCAGCTCTTCTCTCCCTGGAGAATGGAGAGAGGAGGCGGAGCTGAAAGTTCCAAACTTTTAATCATGGCTTGGTCTTTCTGGTGACCAGCCCCCATTTGAAGCTACCTAGGGGAGCTAGGGGAGCTAGGGGAGCTAGATGGCCCCCAGTCATCTCATTAACATACAAAAGACTCTTATCACTGGCGATTCCAAGGGTCTTAGAAGCTCTTATGTCAGGAACTGAGGTCAAAGACCAAATATTAGAACAAAAGATGCTCCTAGCATCCCCAGCGCTTGGGAAATCACAAGAATTTTAGGAGCTATGTGAGTTTTAGGAGATAAGACCAAATACATTTCTTATTATACCACAGTGGTTGAAATGTTTATTTTTATTCCTGCCATAGTTTCCGTACATGAGAAACTTGACCATAGATGTGAGCAGGATTACAGATGGTGATGTTTCTGTTCCAGCTCCTGGAGAGCACTGTGGCCTCTTTAATAGGTCCAACCACAGATTCTAAGGATCTTTTCTACCAAAAAAGTCTTCCCAAGTCTTGTTTAGTGTTAGGAATCCTCAAATTTAGAGATACCTACATGTGAACTTAGAATGTAATATTTTTAGTTAAAGGTAGATTGTCATTTTGATGAACTTGATGGGACATGGAAATATACAAGTATATATTTATTTTTCTGAATAAGTGGTGGGGAGGTGGTTGTACAGAAGTGGGTGTTCTGTGGGTTCCAGAGCATTGGTAGCTGGGCATTATTGTCTTCAGCTCATTGTATAGACAAGCAGATTATAATGATATTTATGTAGTAATCTTGCTCCTAATTAAAGCAAATCTGAATCTTGTTGATTTTAAAGTATTTTTGAATTCCTTTTTAGGTGACTAAACTTTTAAAGTATATTTAAAATATTTTTGATGTTATTCAATTAGTTCATAATCTTTTTTTTTTTTTTTAAGATTTTATTTATTTATTTGACAGAGAGAGACACAGCGAGAGAGGGAACACAAGCAGGGAGAGTGGGAGAGGGAGAAGCAGACTCCCTGCCGAGCAGGGAGCCCGATGCGGGGCTGGATCCCAGGACCCTGGGATCATGACCTGAGCCGAAGGCAGACGCTTAACGACTGAGCCACCCAGGCACCCCTCAATTAGTTCATAATCTAATGAAGTTACCCATATACAAAGAATATTCTCGGATTCCCTCTGGCTCTTGTGCACGGCCTGAGCTTACTCCACTGTAAGGCTACCAAGACCTTGTGCGTTTATGATGGATCACTGTAGTATCAGGTGCGACGTCATGTCTCTACTCCTCCTCAGGAGCCCACAGAGCTCTCTGGAGGGGGAGGGTCAAAGTGCTAAACCCACGAGGAGGTAATTGTGTGGTGCTAACAAGTCAGAGCTGACCAGCTACTGTAGTCCCCTACACAACTTGGCTGGCAAGACTAGAATGCACCAGGCTTTGAATGGCAGGTCACCTAAGACCTCTGGCCTAGTGCTTTAAAAAAAAAAAAAGAATATTCCCTGTGGTTTCTGTATTCCTTGAATAAGTAAAAGCCAAGCACTTCTGTAGAAACTTCTTTTTCTGAGGAGCCTGGTGTTGTGACGTCAGACTGAACTTTCCCCTAGTGTTTGGTCTATGCACATCTCGTATGTGCTATTTGTTGGTTAGAGATAATCAGTCCACCATCGAAAACAGTAATTCACTTTTGTAGTCAGTTCTAATCATGTTTTCACTGTTGCCTTTGTTTTTACTTCGCTGCCTGTCAGCAAAAGGTGATGTATTTGAAGGTCAGGAGACTAGTACTAAAGTTTACATTTTTTCTTGCCTTTTTAAAAACAGAGCTTCGTGCTTTACCAGCTGACCAGGCATGGTAAACAAATGACTGCTCAGTATCAAGTAGGTAATTCTAGATGAGCTCCTGAACAACGAAAGTACCAATTGCTCCTTCTCTAGTAGAGGGTTAATCTCCACATTGTAATGTGTATAAACGTAACTTTTTTTTAATAGAGTTTTTTTTTAAGATTTTATTTGAGAGAGCGAGCACAAGTGGGGGGACGGGCGGAGGCAGAGGGAGATGGAGAAGCAGACTCCCTGCTGAGCAGGGAGCAGACTAGGGGCTCGATCCCAGGACCCTGGGATCATGACCTGAGCTGAAGGCAGATGCTTAACTGACTGAGCCACCAGGTGCCCCGAGGTTTTTTTTTTTTTTTTTTTAATAGAAGCTATTATTACTCTGTAGTCTCTTTAAAATTGCCATTTTATTGATGGCCTTTCTGATAATAGTTGTCCATATTCTTCTTCTAGTGCTTTGCCAGACCTTTATCAAAATGGGGCTGCTGTCTTCTTTCACCTGTAGTGATGAGTTTAGCTCGTTGAGGCTACACCACAACAGAGCTATTTCTCATTTAATGAGGTCTGCTAAAGAGAGAGTTCGTCAGGTAAGCACTAAAATACAGACTTCGTGTATGACAAAAACATTTTAATTTCAGAACTGTATTTTAAAGTCCTGGTTATAGTACAGGTTTATAAAAATGTTAACCTTAATTTATTTATTCAATAAGTATTTATCAAATGACTACCATGTGTTAGGTTTGTAGGAGCTCGGATTCAAGCAGCAAACAAAACAGACAAAAGACAAAAACACCTGACCTCATTGGGGCTTTTTTTTTGAGCTTATGTTCTGATGAGGGCGCAGTCAGCAATAGAAACATAATAAAAATACATAAAAATAAAGGGGGTGTTACATGGTGGTAAGTGTTCAAGAGTGTTAAGGAGAAATATAAAGCAGTGAAGGGGCTTAGAAAATGTGTGGGTTATATACAAGGTGGCCAGTTACTGAAGTTAGTAGCTGCAGTTGAGAATATGAGACATGCACCTATCTGGAGGAAAGAACCTTCCGGGCAGAGGATCAGTCATTCCCAAGGTGGCAATGTGCTTGGTGTGTTTGGGAAGCTGACTGGCAGCCATGTGGCTGGAGTAGAGTAAGCAAGGGGACAGTATGGGAAAGGTAGGGCAAGGAGGGCAGCGGAGGGCAGTAAGATGGACAGATGGAGGAGGATCTTGAGACCATTTTAATGTCTTTGGTTTTTTACTCAGAGTAAAGTAGGAAGCTTTATAGGATTTTGAGCCCAGGAGTGACTTGATCTGACTTACATTTTAATGGACCACTGCAGCTGTGGTGTTGAGACTAGATGGAGGGAGGCAAAGGCAGAGGCAGGGGGACAGGTGCTCAAACAGGCAAGAGGTGATAGGAGCTTGGAGTGGGTGGTAGCAGCGGAGATGTGAGAAGTGGTCCATTTCTGTATCTGTTTTGAAGGTGAAGTCAGAATTATTTGCTGGTAGAGCCCCTTGGTAAGTTCTTAGCCTTATCAGTGGATGGCAAGAATATAGTTTTTTTAGAGTAGTGATCTTTTGGTTAAGACAGAAGTGTTTTCAATTGTAAACCCCTAGGTGATATTGAAAAAGCCAGAATGTTTTTCTTTTTTTAAATATTGTTTGAACATTTGGGACTATTAATGTGACATTGACTTTTGTTAGAGTCTTCATGTCATGAAATTTGTCTAAAATGCTTTTAAAAGTAATTTTCTGATTTTAGGATCCTTGTGAGGATAATTCTCATATCCAGAAGATCAGGTATGTGTCAGATACTTCTGTGATTATGCAAAGAGTAAAACGTCTGAAAGAAATTAAGGTTAAGAACTGATTCTGAATTAATCAGAAATTAGTTTTGGAGTTAAAAATAATATAGTTAGGGTACTTTATGAAAATTAAAAGCTTTATTCTCAGAAATTAATGACTGCTCCAAGATTTGCTTTACTTCTCATTCCCCTTATGCCCCCCCACCCCCAGTGTTCTGTGTGGATTCCATAAGCCCCACCCTTAATTCAGAGCACTGATCGTCTCTGTCAGGGGAACAACATTGAATTTTGGCTATATGTGAGAAATGCTAGTTTAAAATCTATAACTCATTAAGAAATTTAAGTAAGTTTATTACTGAGCTCAGCTAATCAGCTGTTGCCTGTTCGTCATCCTTAGGATTCCTGCTTTAAAACATTTATAATTTCTACTTGGAGTACTAATTACTGGTAATGTGCTTGATTAACGATCCCTTGGCTAACTCTGTTGTGTCCCCTTGCTATCTTTATTACATGTGGATTTGCTTAGCAAGTCATTTTCTTCCTAGAGAATGAAAAATTTTGTTTTGGCTCATCTTTTCCAAGCATCCTAATTTAGTGATGAGTAAGGTTTGGCAGGTTAGTGATACGGCTAATGTGAAATACCCTGGGCACCTGGCTATGTTTTAATATTGTTTGGTTGTTTGTATTTCACTTTTAGGTCCAGGGAAATCGCCTTTGAAGCACAGACTTCACGTTACCTAAATGAATTTGAAGAACTTGCCATTTTAGGAAAAGGTGGATACGGAAGAGTGTACAAGGTTGTTTTCCACAAACCCGTTTTGACCTCCTGCTCTGAGTAAATGTATTTTGAGAAGTTGTTCTCATGATTATTATTTAAAGTACTCTAGGGGAAGTTCCTAGAAATCATGTGTGCTTACTTTTCACTAAGATTTGTCATTTATAGGGAAGTGGGCAGGTTTTAACTTTTCCTAACCACGTTGGTGGTTTAGGCAGATTCTGGAAACCACATTAATTTACTTAAAAATGTATCACGGGAGAAAGCTGTGCTTTTGTGTTTTGGGCCTCACATGGTTCTTTTGCTGACATTTCCATTTTTCAGACCTAGAGTCTCTAGGAGTTGGGAGTCTCAGTGCAGTTTGGAAGCTTCTAGTCTAGCTGACTGTGGCTGACTTTCCTGAACATAGTAAAGACACTTGTCTTTTGCTTAATTTTATCTCTTTAGCTAGTTTGGATCTTAAACTCAGGTTAGAATAACTTGTTCTATTCAATTGAATTTTTTTTTTTTTAAAGATTTTATTTATTTATTTGACAGAGAGAGAGACAGCGAGAGCAGGAACACAAGCAGGGGGAGTGGGAGAGGGAGAAGCAGACTTCCTGCCGAGCAGGGAGCCCGATGTGGGACTCGATCCCAGGACCCTGGGATCATGACCTGAGCCGAAGGCAGACGCTTAACGGCTGAGCCACCCAGGTGCCCCTATTCAATTGAATTTAATGGCACAATATACTTTCTCTTTTCCTTTGCTTTTTAGGTCAGGAATAAATTAGATGGTCAGTATTATGCAATTAAAAAAATCCTGATTAATGGTGCAACTAAAACAGATTGTATGAAGGTATGCTTTTTTAAGTGTATTTATTTTGAATGATGGGGTATTTAGATCCTTTTGAAAGAGTTATGTATGTGTGTGTATTTGGCAAATACTAGGTGTTGTGGATTGCTGAGTTTACTAAAAGTAGGTTACATAAAATAAAGGAAATTTTTATTTGACTTAATTTTTTATTTTTAAAAAAATTTTTTTGAGAGAGCAAGAGAGAGTGTAAATGGCGGGGAGGGGCAGAGGCAGAGGCAGAGGGAGAGGGAGAATCCCAAGCAGGCTCCACGCTCAGCATGGAGCCCAGTGCGGGGCTTGATCTCACAACCCTGAGATCATGACCTGAGCTGAAATCAAGAGTCGGACGCTTAACTGACTGAGCCACCCAGGCGCCCCCCTCTAAGCAACTTGGGTCTCCTGTCCTTGATATAGTGGTGACCGTAGGACTGGACTTACTAGTGGTATATGTGCTGCTGAAGGACAGCACAGGGAGTGCCTGGACTTATTGGGAGGAATGAAATGAGAGAATGAACATAAATGGGCTATGGAAAGTATGAAGCACTAGATATGTGTAAGTTATTTTGTTGCTATAACAATTCCATTTGTCTCTCAGAAATAGTCTGATTATTTTAACATAGTTTAGACTCCTTGTTCGGTTGGGTTTTTATTGTTTTGCTCTGGAACAAGTAGTATTTGATGCCGTGCACATTGAACAAGTTGTCAGTGAAAGCCAGATCAAAATGCATTTCCTCTTTAGGTCCTGCGGGAGGTGAAGGTGCTAGCAGGCCTTCAGCATCCTAATATCGTAGGCTATCACACTGCTTGGATAGAGCATGTTCACGTGGCCCAAACACAAGGTAAGCCATTACAGATGGTATGGCTGTCCGGTTGGCAAACTGCGACCCGTGGGCCAAACCCGGCCTGCCCCTGCTTCTTTGCCTCCTGAGAGCTGAGAGTGTTTTCTTACATGTTTAGATAGTTTAAAAGGAATCAAAAGAAGAATACTTTGTGAAAGTTATAGGATATTCAAATTTCACGTCAATGAATAAAGTATGTTAGTACCCAGGCGCATTCATTCGTGTGTTGTGTGTGGCTGATTTTGCACTACAACAGCTGAACCGAGTAGGTGTAGAGTCCTAGGAGGCCTGTAAATCCTACACTTACTCCCGGCCCTCTACAGAAAGTTTGCCTCTCCCCTCACCCCCGCAGCGTAGTTGAACGGCTCTGTTTTTATAGTTCCTAAAATGTGCCAGGCATTTGAATAAGCTTGTTGTATCGTATTTTCCTAGAAAATACTGACATTTTTAGACTTGTGGTCTCATTTGGTGTTATTTTAGCTCTGTTTTCAACCATAAATTAGAAAGCTAGGCTGCTTGAAAATGGGTTTTTGTTTTTGTTTGTTTTGTTTTGCAGATAGAATTTCTATTCAGCTGCCATCTCTGGAAGTGATGTCAGACAAGGAGGACGACAGGTATGTGGACTGGTGTGTAGTTTGACACGTTAGATGTAACCTGTCACCTACACTGAGTTGTCTTTTTGCTCATTTTCATTACAAAGTGTTAAATGGCTTCTTCCTCTCAGCTAGTTCCGGCCAGTGTTTTCTTTTTTTTTTTTTAAAGATTTTATTTATTTATTTGAGAGAGCGAGAATGAGAGAGAGTACATGAGAGAGGGGAGGGTCAGAGGGAGAAGCAGGCTCCTCGCTGAGCAGGGAGCCCGATGCGGGACTCGATCCTGGGACTCCAGGATCATGACCTGAGCCGAAGGCAGTTGCTTAACCAACTGAGCCACCCAGGCGCCCCCGGCCAGTGTTTTCAATAAATATTGCTGCTAGAGAGATCTGATACCATGTGCTTCCAGAGTTTACCAGTGAGATTTATGTAGGTGTGAAGGGACAGCTGAGTCACTCTTGATCTTTTTTTTTACATTGATATTTATCTTTACCGTTTTTTTTTCCCTCCAGAAATCAGCATGTTAAAAATGATGAAAGTAACAGCTCATCCATTATCTTTGCCGAGTTCACCTCAGAAAAAGGAAAGTCTTTAGGAGAATCTGGCATTGACAATCAGAATAACAGATTGGTGAACTGCAACACCAATTTAATCACAAGAACCGCCTGTGAATTTGAATCATCCAGTTTGCTCCAAGGAAATGGTTTGGCTGATTTGCCTTCCAGATCGATTGTTGAACATCAGCTGCCATTTAGGCATCATTCCGACTTAGAAGAGAATTTCACATCCACCGGGGAATCTTCTGAAAACTTAAGTTTGTTGGGGCAGACAGAGGTAGTTCACTTTCCCAGAACCTACTGATGATTTGATGCTCACCCATAGTCATAGTGTGGAGGACCCATGACTAGATGTGGCCTCCTTTCCACCCCAGCTGACTGTGCACCTTGCCCCCCACCCCCAATATGTCTTTGTCAGCCTCTCCCCGCCACGTCCCCCTGGCCTATCTCCCTGGCCTGTGGCCCATGTTTTGGGTCTTCCATCCTTTGCTTAGTTAACGCCTGCTAATCCTTTTCTGGCCACTTCTGTTTCTTCTCATTTGTGCCCCCGGAGTTGGAAGCATTGTTCACACCGTTTCTGTTGTGTGTTCTTATCATGCTATGCAAATACATTATGCATAAAGACCTCTCTTTTGGAATGTGACTTGAGGAGAGGAGAGATCAGGTCTGTTTTCAGGACACTCTCATTGAGGGTCACACCCATGTGCCGGTGAGATTGCCACATGCTCTCCCCGGTGTGGAGTCTTAGTGTTAAAAAGGACTTGAATGCTAACAGGGTCTCTGTATAATCTGGCACTCTGGGATTACAGAACCGGATATGCCCTCTGTATATGCACATGCAGAATTAATTCTTGTTGCCCGGGAATATGTGGCTCCCTGAATGTGCTTTTTATGAGACACAAAACTTTGAACAGAATCACCTGAATACGCAGGAGTTGAATTTGAGGGACTTTTCATCAGAACCATTCCATTTCTCCACACTACATTTGGGACTTTCCTTAGTGCCTAAGTGCGTACGCTGTCGTGAGCTTAAGTTTTGCTTAACTTTTCCAAGTTATTTATGGACACAGCGAGGCCTCCAAAATGCGCATCTACTTTGAGGTGCTCGGAGAGCAGTAGAGTGGTCCCCAGCCATTCTCTGACGCTGTGTCTGAGCTTTAGAAACTGCATGTGGCGAGCAGACCCAATCGTTTCCGCGCCAGGGCCTCAGTGTCACCTTCGGGAGCTTGTCCCGCCCTGCAGCCCAGGCCTCCCCCTGCTCGCTCGCATTCTGACGCACCGTTTAAGGCATTCCTTCCTTCTTCTGTCTCCTTCACGAGACTTTGGGCTTCTTGGGCGGACGTGTGTCTGTCATCTCTTTCCTGAGCATGTAGCCCCCTGCTTGGCCTAGCGGAGGCAAGTGATACCTGTTGACTGAATGAATAATGCGAGCAAGTTGTGCCCAGGTGGGAGCCAGCCGTGTTGTCCCCCAGGTGCAGTACCACCTGATGCTGCACATCCAGATGCAGCTGTGCGAGCTCTCGCTGTGGGACTGGATAGTCGAGAGAAACCAGCGGGGCCGGGAGTATGTGGACGAAGCTGCATGTGAGTAACAGGTGGATCTTGGAACACTGGGCTGGGAAATGGAGACACTGGCGGATCTTCCGATGTAGGAACTACCTGCAGGTGCTTTAGACTCAGGAAAAAAATCACCTTTTCGAAACGATTGTGCTTATTTCAACATTTTCAAGAACATATAGGTATTTGGAAGTTAATTTTTTCTGAGATAAAGATATAGTTTGTGGATTCCTAAGCTGTAATATGCTAGAATTTAGGTTAATGATTTTGGGCAGAAAAGGTCTTAGAATTTTTTTTTTTTTAAAGATTTATTTATTTATTTATTTGAGAGAGAGAGAGAATGAGAGACAGAGAGCATGAGAGGGAGGAGGGTCAGAGGGAGAAGCGGACTCCCTGCCGAGCAGGGAGCCCGACGCGGGACTCGATCCCGGGACTCCAGGATCATGACCTGAGCCGAAGGCAGTCGCTTAACCAACTGAGCCCTAGAATTTTTTTTAGGAAGAAATTTAAATATTTTTTAAACCTGACAATGTGATACTCTTGCAAAAAGATACCTTTAAAGAAACCCTTATAGAAGGGTAGGTGGTGAAAAGTTTGTCTCAAGATCCAGAGCCCCTTCCTTCTGCAGGAAAGATTGTTAGGTTAATAATTTTTAAAATTATTGTAATACTAGTTCTCAACTTGTGCCACACATTAGAATCACCTGGGGAGCTTTAAAAAAGATGTTGATAAGACAGAGTAAGAGAAAAGCAGGTGGAGAAAGCCGACCACCATGACTTTGGCTGAGGTGACTGTGGCTGGTGTTCAAGGTCAGCTTCAGCAGTGAAAACTGTTCATAGTGTGACCTTGAACCTCATCATAGTGTGATGAGAAGGGCATTGCGTCTCTGGGGTCTTTCTCCCCAGAACCCTTAATGCCAGTCTAATTGTAAGAAAACGTCAGACAAATCCCAGCCTAGGTACATTCTATGAAATATCTGACCAGTACTTGTCAAAACTGTCAAGGTCCTATAAACAGGAAATGTGAGGAACTGTCACAGACTAGAGGAGCCTCACGAGACCTGACCTCTAAATGTAATGTAGTATCCTGGATGGAGCCCTAGAACAGAGAAAGGACGTTAGATAAAAACTGGGGGAAGTCTGAGTAAATTGTGGACTTGTATCAGTCTTGGTACGGTAACTGTGACAGATGTACCCTACCAGTGTGGGTGTTAATGATGGGAAACTGGGTGGCAGGTAAGTGGGAACTGTATTATGGTCTCCGTTTCTCTGTAGATCTAAGATTGTTCCAACAAGTAAAGTCTGTTTTTTTTTTAAAGGGTGTTGTCAGGGACTGCACCAGCAATTTTTATATGATTGATATGGGATAAGGCTTGGCCTTTGATATTTTTTTGGAAATTCTCTTGTTGATACCAACGTGTAGCCAAAGTTGAAAATCACTGTATTAAGTGATCAAAACTGGGGATGCAAGTGACCTGATTTTAAGTAAAGACCTAGCTAAATATTATTAATCATTTGCTGTTCACGACTATTGACACTCTAACTCTTTATTTGGTCTAAAATACACATCATCTAACACACCCAGAATCTTAGATTAGCTTCCAGGGGAGGCAGAAACAGAATGCCTCCCTCAAGCATCTCCGCGACGCTCCCTGCTTCTCTGGTTTACTGTGTAATCAGGACATGCCAGACTTTGCTTAGTTCAGTCGTGGCAAGTAATGAATGGGTATTTTCAGTTTCCGTAAAGTTGTATTCTCTGCCGTGTGAGCATCATAGTGCTAGGTGCAGATGTCTCTGTAAAAAGAAGATGGTTTATTAAGGTCCTGTATGCAGTTGTTGATCTTTAAACTTCCATTTGGAAAGTAAGTAATGAGTCCCTCACGATAGATTGGGGTAACTCTGATCTTCACCATCCAGGACAATAAGCCTATGAAAACAGGAAGGGCAAGATATGGAGGTTACTGCTATCGTGATGCATAATTTTCTTTTAAAAGTATTTTAAAATAAAAAGGTTTAACTTGGTAGTGTTCCCCACGGGCTGCATACCTTCCTATCGAGTATAGTTTTATATCAGTTATCCCCAACAATCCATACATGGTAGACCCAGGTTTGAATCCTGGCTCTAGCACTCACTGGCGGTGAGGTTTGGGGCAAGTCAGGAAACTGCTCTCAGCCTGTTTCCTCCACTGTGAAATGTGGATCATCCCATTTGATAGGGTGTGAGGATTGAAGCGCTCCATGCAAAGGATGCGTTGCTGAGGGAACGGAAGCTGTTCTCACCTGATCAGGCCCGTGTACAGGGGCCTGCTGTTTGGATGTGTTAGGTGGGTTAAAATGAGAACCTGTTACAGACAGACCAGAGGAAGGGAGTTGATCTGAATGGCTGTGAGAGTCCCAAAGCCCTCCATCTGTAGACAGGAGGCTGTCGCTCCAGCGTGAGGGGCATGGTAGTGGCGGCACTTGTAAGTGGGACCGTTGTGTTTATGCACATAGACATGCAGAGTTTCCTGTCTTCTCAAGTCCTGGGGACTTGAGGTCCCTGAGTTACATGCTGGGTGGTGCAGAAGGAGAGTGTGGCTTAGGTGAGCTGCATAGCAAGGTAGGCTCATCCAGGAGGAAAGGGAGCATGTCGTATTTCTGTGTTACGTATTTACAGTGTAAAATGGCTGAGGAGACGAGCTATTAAGTTCTTATTATGATATCACCAAATTTACTTAGCTGGAAAACGAGGGTTTTTTGCTTTAGCAATTTGTTTTAGTTCCTACAAAACCTTCCCACCCCTAAAGTCAGTCATTATATCATCATGTTAATAGATGAATTAAACCATTTACTTGTTTCCTCATTACATCGTTTTTCATTTGTCAGTCATTTTTGGAAAATACAGCATTCCAAATCTTCCATGTAATGGGAGCTCACTCCTTGAGCTAACATAGTTTATCTTTTTTCTGATTGCATTATTTGTAACAATGTCTTTAATCCACAGTAGGCTTAGGACACCAGATTTATCAGTGTTAAACCCCAGAGTGTCAGGGATTGAAGGAGATTTAAACCTAGTTTAATCCAGCCATCTTATGCCTGAGAATGGTTTACAAAGTAATACAGGGGCTCTTGGTGAAATTCGTGACACCAAGTCCATTCACTAGGGCACTAAGTTTGTGATGGTTTCTTTGCAAGCTGAGGAGCCCTTCCTGCTTATTTTAAACCATTTAGGTGTGTTGACTTTGTTGAAAATCTGAATTACGTTAATGTATTTAGAACTATGTAACATTTAGATGTTAATGTAATGAGTAAAAAGAAAAATAAAACTTCCTTTTTTCCTTCAAGGTCCTTATGTCATGGCCAGTGTTGCAACAAAAATTTTTCAAGAATTGGTGGAAGGTGTATTTTACATACATAACATGGGAATTGTACACAGAGATCTGAAGGTAAGTGCCTTGTATCAGGGAGGACGTGGTGTTGGTTCACTGAGTTAAATGAAATTATGTATCCTCTTTCATTTACTTAGGGGGTTATCATTATTTTTATATAAATCATCCCATGAGTCCAGAACTTTAGATTGAATTTATTTTATTTTTTTTTAAGACTTTATTTGTCAGAGAGAGAGAGAGCACAAGCGGGGAGCAGCAGGCTTGCTGCTGAGCAAGGAACCCGATGCGGGACTCGATCCCAGAACGCTGGGATCATGACCTGAGCTGAAGGCAGACGTTTAACCACCTGAGCCACCCAGGCGCCCCTAGATTGAATTTAAAGGCAGTGATCTTTGGGCATTCAAAAATTCTCTATGGAGGAATAGTAGTGTTTTTCAGGTAGTGAGTGTGCTACGAGTTACTCATATAATAGATGAGGCTAAATGTATTTAATGCTGACAAAAATCCTCATATGTTATTGTAGACTTAGAGGTAAAATCTGTTTCTACAATTACGTAACTTAAAGGAAATTTAACATGGGAAATTTTTTTCTGCTGTTTAAAAAGTGTATGATTATTCCAGTTTTTATCCACAAAAGACTATCAAAGAGAGAAAATAGATTTACTTCTTTGGCAGAAGAGTTTTAATTTGCTTACTTTTTGAACAAAGAAATTACGTTGTGAAAAATGTCTTTAAAGGAATATTTGGGAACGAAAAGTTAATGTGCAAATCATTTTATTTTTTGAAAAAAGTTTAAGAACCAGTTTGTACATCTGGGATGTACAAGGTGATGAGTTAAGTGTTTTCTGGATACGAGTCTAGCCAGAAAATGTGGTGTGAGTTACTGAAATTCTATGGCTGGTGAAATTTTGAGGTCCTATTTCAAGAGGTAAGCTAGGTCATAATAACTGTATAGAGAGTTCCAAATCTTCACTGGGAGAAGTTGCTTTAAGTGTTGTTTGTATTTCTCACCATAAATATTTCTGATGTTTCTTTTACAGATGTCCTCTAGGGATAAGGGTTTTTGAGATAACTTTATTAGGGTTTCCCTTAAGAGGTGGAATTCTGGTAGCATGATTCCTGCAGGTAGAACTCCTTGGTTATTGGTCAGTCTCAGAGGATAAGAGTGATAAAGGAGTCTGGCGAGAAGCCCCGTGTCCCTTATGTTGGAACTGCGCTGGAGGTACATGTGTATCGGAGACTCCCCGCGGCTTGTTAGTACGTTAACGTTTGCTTCAGAGTCAAGCAGGAGGTTGATGATTGCCTCTCTGCCTCCAAAACATGCCTCGTGGATAGCTGTTTGACCTTCGTGGTCTCGGGCATTTACTTTGGCTCCGTGAATTAGCAGCAACCGGATGCAGCTCACCCCTGCCGCCAGCAGTCGGCCTGCTTTGCTCGATGCGGTGCACACCGCCAGCTTAAGGGCCGTGTTCCCAGTGGAGGCAACGGCGCAGTTAACGTTTGCGCCACAGGCAATCAGTGTTTCCATCATCTCCTTATTCAGTATGTCGGCAGCCATGTGAAGGGGTGTCATGCTGGATTCGTTAATGGCATTGACGTGGGCACCATTTTGGGCTAAAATGGAGAGAACCGGATAGGTCCCGTAGGTTATGGCCAGGTGCAGGGGTGACTGTTTGTTGCTGTTGTCCACTCGAGCATTGACCTGAGCTCCATGTTCGCACAAAATGCGGAGACACATCACAGCGTTACTCTGAATGTCTGTCAGGATCCTTTGGATTCTGTTCCCCGGTTTTGTCCATGTGGTAGAAGTGATTGGCCAGTGCAGGAGCATCAGGTGGAGCGTGGTGAGGCCTCTTGCATCCCTAGAACAGTTATTGATCGCAGATTACACTATATTCACAATGGAAACGGTTCTACGCAAAGAATTAGTACTTAAGAAGGCAATGTTTATTTTTTATTTTTTTTAAAGATTTTATTTCTTAGAGACAGTGAGAGAGGGAACACAAGCAGGGGGAGCGGGAGAGGGAGAAGCAGGCTTCCCACTGAGTAGGGAGCCCGATGCGGGGCTCGATCCCAGGACCCTGGGATCATGACCTGAGCCGAAGGCAGACGCTTAACGACTGAGCCACCCAGGCGCCCCAAGAAGGCAATGTTTATTGAAAGTGATTCCTCTCGCCTACTTCAAAGAAGTGTTTGAAAATCTGCATTAGTTTCTCGGGATATCACAGCATTTTAGAGGGGGGACTCCGGTGCCATGAGGGTTTTATACTGGCCCTGATGTGCTTCTCTACTGAAATCTCTCAAGGATGCTTCCAAAATTCCTTTATTTTGGCAGAGAAAAGGGAAGGTTTATTACAAACATCTGACCCACTGAAATTTGAAAATGATTTTCAGTTTATGTATATTTATTTAGCGTAAGGCCCCATGCTAGGGAAATGGTAAACAGCACGGAGTCCCTGCTTTTGCAGGGCTTGACAGTCTAGCATGAAGGACACGAAACATATTTAAGTAACTAGATCAGTATTGCACATGGGCAAAGTTCTAAGAGGTATGAGCACCCTAGAGGGTGTATGGAGGAGCCCCTGTGGAGGAGGGGTGTGCATCGGTGATGTCCAGTCGTGGAGGACTGGGAGAGCGTCTGCAGAGCTGGGCAGGGCCGTGCGTGGGTGAGGGTTCCAGCCAGACAGGTCAGGGGGCTCTTCTGGAGCATGCTGAGGATTTGAGGGTTTACTTTCTGTTAAACTTATGGGGGCAAGAAGTCATATTGTTTTTACACCATGTGATTCTTCCATTCATTAGATCCTATTTATTGGCACTTAGTATCAGGCATCGGTTTAGGTGGTGAAGACATATTGGTGAACGAGGTAACTACTCTTTCATGAAGTATACTTTCTAGTGATGGGTAATAAAAAGAAAATCCATTGTCTATTTCTATGTACTTATTTTCCATACCTAACTGAGGGTTTTAAGCTCCCTGAGGGCTGTGACCAACACTTCATGCATTTTCTGCAGCATCATTGCTTAGTGCTTAATTCTCAGGATGCTTGAATTGGGCTGACTGGTTTGTGTTCCTGCATTACTGCCAGTTTTTCCGAGTATCTCATCTAGTCAGTAAAGAAATTGGTTCATTCAAGACATGGTCATGGTATTTTGTAGTCCCTAAACCCCGAAGAATGGGTGAGTCCAGACATTACCGGGGAGAGTAACATCTAAATCATGCATATCCTCACTGAGAACTGATCGCTGTTGAGTTAACTTACCTGACTTCTGGGTCGGCACCGTGTTCTAACAAACAAAGCAAACTTCGTGCCTTGCGGTATTCGGCAGCTAGATGAATGGGGATGATGGACTGCATCTGCTTTGGGGGAGAAAGACTACGTTACAAGTAGGCCTGTGCAGTGTCAGCCTGCTGTGTCAGAGGAAATAAGTGTACTTAGTATCTCAGTTCAGTATTTTTCTGGTATGTGCATTGAAATTTTCTTTTTGACTGTTTTAAAAGACCCCAAACCAGTGAGAGTCATATAAAATCTGTTTTACATATAATGTAGATTTGCCAATGCAACAGAAATAACTTACGTAAAGCTTTGCAAGTTGGTTCTTGTGGAGAGCTCATAGTGTAAAAGTAATGGTAATTGCTACTAAGTCACTTAGTCCTTAAATTAACCCACAGGGTGATTGACAAGTAGGTTTTGTGTTTTTTAAGACTTTGCCAAAGTCATAGTATCAGTAGTAAAACCTGAATTTCCAGGGTTTCAAAGATAATGCAGCATGTCTTCCATGATGAGCAGAGCTGTTTATTCTGGTTCTTAAAATACATCTCTAATAAGTAGTGACTTTTCACGGCGTGACTGCCAGATAAGGGAAGAAGGCGGGGTACAGGAGACAGTGACTTTTGGGGGAAAAAAATTAAATCTAAAGGTAATAATCATTGTATAAAAATTTAGAAAATGAAAAAGCATATGCAAAAAAGGGGAAAAATAATTATTCACACAGATGTAATCACCACTGGTATATTTGAGAGGACAACATTAATGTTCCACCAGCCAAATGGGTTCTTGTCTTTCCGCACATCAGCGTACATGGGGCAGTTGGGAGGCGTGCAGGGTGCTGGAGGTGAAGTGTCCCGCCGTGGGGGTGGTGGGGACTGCGGGGACCACGGGGAGGTTTAATGAGCTCACAGCAGCTAGGTGGTAGGCCTTCCGAAGCATGGCATCTTTTCCCTACAAGTGACAGAGCAGAGGGGAGGGTACCTGGTTCAGAAGTAGTCGGTAGCTGGTGGAGTTGGCCAGAATGGTCATGGGCTGGTTGACGGGGTGGCTTCTCAGGAGCACCTGGATCGCCGCGCAGTCCTCCCTCATGATGGCCTCGTAGAGTCTGGTGTGGAGGGCGGCAGCCGGGCCTTCTTGCAGGGCCTCGGCACCGTCAGCGACCAGCTCCCTTCTGCCTCTCTTGGTTATGTTTCCCATGAGCAAAACTTAAGAGTGGGGACTTGGAAGTGCAGGGGCCACTTGGGACAGAATTGGTCTATTTCAGTCTCATTATGATCCCTTTAGTTCCATTCTAGAACCATTCTAGAACTGTTGAGAATCGTATCTGTGAACACGATTCATTTATATCTCAGAGCCAACTTCTTCAGGCTTTGTTCCCAGGTCATACAGTGCCAAATAGAGGCAGTTTTTTTTTTTTTTAAGATTTTACTTATTTATTAAAGAGAGAACACGACCCAGTGGAGGGGCGGGGGTGGGGGGGGAGGAGAAGCAGGCTCTCAGCTGAGCAGGGAGCCCGGTGCGGGGCTCGATCCCAAGACCCTGAGATCATGACCTGAGCCGAAGGCAGACGCGTAACAACTGAGCCCCCCAGGCGCCCCCATTTTTACTGTTTTAAGAACACCAAGGAGTTGTTCTTGTTTGTTTACAGCCCAGGAATATTTTTCTTCATGGCTCTGATCAGCAAGTAAAAATAGGAGACTTTGGTCTGGCCTGCACAGACATCATACAGAAGAACACAGACTGGATCGATAGAGATGGGAAGAGTAAGTTTATTCTGGTTCTTTTCTTTTTTGGCATTAAGACAAAAAAACATGATTGAACTTGTCAGTATTTAAAGAGACTCATAAAGACTTAATGTCATAGCAAAAGTAAGATAAAGACAAAAAGCAACCATCGTTCCCTACAGTACCCTGCTCAGAGTCCATGTTCTTTGGTGCAGACAGTGGGAACTCTGCAGTGTTTTAATATTTGGCTTTTCAAATTACAGGGACACTCACACACACGTCCAGAGTGGGTACTTGCCTGTACGCTTCTCCTGAGCAGTTGGAAGGATCTGAGTATGACGCCAAGGTAGTATTTGCTGCTTTTCCCCCTTTTGCTGGCCTTGGTCTGCTGTCCTAAGTAACAAAAAGCACAGTAAGTGCAGTGGAAGTTCTCGTGTTGGTGTTTTTGGAGGTAACAGAGTAGGGTAGGTTGTCTGTTACATGAAACTGCCATTAACAGGAAACCTCACTTTTCACCTAAATCTGACTACACTGATTTTCAGGCTACTTTACCACTTCTATTTTTTTTTTTTTTTTTAAGATTTTATTTATTTGAGAGAGAGAGAGCATGAGAGGGGTGAGGGTCAGAGGGAGAAGCAGACTCTCCGCCGAGCAGGGAGCCTGATATTTATTTATTTGACAGAGACACAGCGAGAGAGGGAACACAAGCAGGGGGAGTGGGAGAGGGAGAAGCAGGCTTCTTGCTGAGCAGGGAGCCCGATGCGGGGCTCGATCCCATGACCCTGGGATCATGACCTGAGCCGAAGGCAGACGCTTAACCAACTGAGCCACCCAGGCACCCCTACTTTACTACTTCTAAATCCATGGGTGTCCTAAATTATTTTTGAAATGAGCTTTCCTTTTAAAACGTCACAGTTCGGGCTGTGAAAAGGTCTAATCCGTTTTGTTCCTTGAAGGAATGTTAAAGGAAATCCTTTTCTCAAAGTAACAGCCTAGTAAATTTTCTTCCTTCTGATGAATCATTCAGCTTTTCAGTGACCGGGCGTGAACTGGCAGAAAGAGACCATGGCTCTTCCTCAAATCCTACCTGGTTAAAGGCCTTCCTTGAAAAACGATTTCAGGAAAAGTAACAGATTTTATGAAGTTTCTTAAACTTTACCAGAATGCTTCGCTGTGTGTGGAGGCAGAGGGGAGCAGGCCGCAGGGACGCCGACCCCAGTAGCTGGCCCCAGCACGTGGGAGCTCCCGTCTCTTGCTCAGGCTGCTCCACGCCCGGATTTTCAGGGAGTGCTGGGGTCACTGGTATGGTAGTGACTGTGGACGGGGCCGGGGGCGTTCTCCCTGCCCCTCACCCGGCCGGGCTTTGTGGCCGTGGATGCCCTTCTTGGTTTGGAAGAGATGGGGATTGCGACGGTACCAGACAGCTCTCCCTCAGGGCCATGATTCTAGGTGGCAGAAACTTGCCTCTGTGAGGGGTCAGCTTGCCCACTGTGTGCCCTGCATCGTAGGGTCTGTAAATCGGCCTGTCTTAGAAATCTTGTGTTTGAGAGGATGGTGATAGTCTCCTTTTGTGTTTCACTACTAAATTACCTCTCTCCCGCTTTTCCAGTCAGATATGTATAGCTTGGGTGTGATCCTGCTAGAGCTCTTTCAGCCGTTTGGAACAGAAATGGAGCGAGTACACGTTTTAACAGGTTTAAGAAGTGGTCAGATACCTGAATCCCTCAGTAAGAGGTGTCCCGTGCAAGCCAAGTATATCCAGCACTTAACTAGAAGGAACGCATCTCAGAGACCGTCTGCTCTTCAGCTGCTGCAGAGTGAACTTTTCCAAAATTCTGGAAATGTATGTACATATATATATTTTTTTTTTTGTAAAGTAATCTCTCCACCCAAACTCATGAGTCCCAAGATCAAGAGTCACACGCTCCACGGACTGAGCCAGCCAGGAGCCCCAGTTGAGCTTAGAATAAGGTTTATGGAAACCAGATTAAACTCATTCTCAGAGTTCCCAGAAGCACAGCCTTAGTTAGTCCAAGTAAGCAAGGTGACCACGGCCAGTGTCTAAAAGTTGTAATTATATATAGGCTCTACTTTCTAGCTTCCTCTTGCTAAGTCCAAAGGCTTTAGTTTTCCTTTCTGACTAGGAAATATAACCTTTTATAAATCACTACAGCATATCTACTAGTAAAAAGGGGCACATACCAGAGAGTAAAAGACAGCAGGAAATCTTGGGGGGAGCTGGAGTGACTGTGGCAGAGACCGCCTCTGCCCATCTGCGGTCCTTCAGCATTCAAGTGTGTGATTCTGGTTTTCAGTCCTGTGATGTGGGATGGGCCCCAGGGCAGCCCCTTCCTCCCCTCCTCCCAGGGCAGCCCCTTCCTCCCCTCCTTCCAGACCCGTTGTTACCGTGCCAAGTACCATGTCCAGTCTACAAGTACTGGAAACACGATTCATCCATTCTGTTCCTCCAGAAACTTTCTGAGATTTAACAAAAGCTTGATTCAAAGATCTATTCACAGATCCCCTAGTGCTCTGCTACCGCAAGCATAGTCCCCAGACCAGCAGCATCAGCATTACCTGGGGGCTTTTGAGAAGTATAGGGTCTTGGGCTCCACTCCGGACATACCAGCTCAGAATCTGCGTTTAACAAGATCCCCAAATGATTTGCCTCCACAGTGTGTGAGCGGCATTGCATTAGATGCGCTGGTCCTTAGAGTGTAGTCTCCAGGCCAGCAGCATAAAATCCTCAGGAACCGGATGGAATTCCCAGGCCCTCTTGGCTGCTCAGACCTGTTAAGGGAGAAGTCTGGGCGGGGGGTTGGGGAGGAGCTGCAGCCGGCCCGTGTGCAGCAGATACCCGACATCGTCGTGATGCACACCGGTCTGCGCGCTCTTTGTAGTAACTGTTCCGTTGATTTATTTTCTGTTTAAGGCTTACTGAGTTTCAGGTAAAACAGTGAATTTTACTAGCTTGAATGGTAAACAGGTAGGTGTAGTACTTTTCTGAGCCTTTGGAAACAGCAGATGTGGTGATTAAATTTCTCTTTTCTACGGAAGGGATTTTCTAACTCCCAGTTAAGTTAGCTATTAGAGACCGTAGTTATTTGGCATTTATGGTATTTCTCTTGTAGAATTTTTTATATAATAGCCTTCACATGCCTATACAGAGAAAACTTGTGTGGACAGGCAGTCTTTGGTTTGCACGGCCGTTCATACAGGACTGTGAAAATGGCTGCTGAGCTCAGACCACGCAAGGGGATCTTAGTAATCCACGGGAAGTTATGATTGTCCCATGACCTTTACAAATGTTTCTCAAAACATTAAAAACTCTGTCAGTTGCAGAGGTATGTGGAAATGAAGCAAGTTATAAAACTGTATTTATTTACATGTTCAGGAGTGGTTTGAACAGTGCCTGCCTGCATCTCACCATAGAACTTAGGATACACAGTGAGCTTCTTTTCTGTGCTGGTGAACTGTACACTCCTTTCTAAGTTTGGATCAGCGGTCAAGTATCCTTTGCACTTTCGAAGTTGTGAGAGATCTCTGAGAGTTTTTTGTTTTTGTTTTTTTAAAAATTTTATTATGTTAGTCACCACACATCACATTGTTAGTTTTTGATGTAGTGTTCCATGATTCATTGTTTGTGCATAACACCCAGTGCTCCATGCAGTACGTGCCCTCCTTAGTACCCATCACCGGGTTAACCCATCCCCGCACCCCCCTCCCCTCTAGAACCCTCAGTTTGTTTTGGGTGTACAGCATGGTTTTTTGTATTATTAGGTTAGTCACCATACATCCATCGTTAGTTTTTGATGTAGTGTTCCGTGATTGTGTATAACACCCAGTGCTCCATGCAGTACGTGCCCTCCTTAATACCCATCACCGGGCTAACCCATCCCCCCACCCCCCGAGAGTTCTTTCAACATGAATTTTGCTGGTGTCACTTTCTCTGGGACATCTTCATCCTTTTCCTCATTTCTGCTAAGTCCTCTTTGCCCGGTCCTGGGGCTGCACACCCGTGTGCCTGGCGGCGGCGGGAGCAACACCCCACGGCCGCCTGTTTCTTCTCTGACACCACGTGGTGCGATTTGATTCGGCTGCCAGCGTCCGTACTTTTCATTAGGTTGCTGCACTTCCATCTTCGCTGGCCAGTTCCACGTGTCAGTTAGGACACACGGAGGCAACACAACACACACGTGGCCTGGTGTGTGCCATGAGCCAGGTGATGACTGGCCCCTGGTGGTGACAGGCATCGTGGGCTGAGGTGCTGACAGTTAGTTATGGAGCCGGGCAACCCGACGCTGGCGCAGCTCCGCCAGCTGTGGGCACTGGGATTCAGGCGCACCGTGCAAAGGGAGGTTGGCCTGTGTATTTAAAATGGAAGAGGCCGGGGCACCTGGGTGGCTCAGTCGTCCAGCGTCTGCCTTCGGCTCGGGTCGTGATCCCGGGGTCCTGGGATCGAGTCCCGCGTCGGGCTTCCTGCTCGGCGGGAGGCCTGCATCTCCCTCTCCCACTCCCCCTTGTATTCCCTCTCTTGCTATATCTCTCTCTGTCAAATAAATAAATAAATAAATAAAAATCTTTAAAAAAAAAAAGATAAAATAAAAAAATAAAATGGAAGAGGCCATTTTAATGGAATTCAAAATTTTCTCTTGACAGGTTAATCTCACCCTACAGATGAAAATACTGGAGCAAGAAAAAGAAATCGAAGAACTAAAGAAGCAGCTGAGTCTCCTTTCTCAGGACAAAGGGGCCAAGGATGACGTGAAAGATGGGGGTGTTCCTGTCCTGCCTTAATTAGGCTCTGTAAATGTGAAAGTGGACTTCTAGTTCTTGAAGTAGTCAACTGGCATGTAAATGTTGTCTTTGTTAGGGTATAGATGGTATAGTTCTATTTAGTAAGCCTGGACAAGACCTATTAAAGTTGTAGAAGTTCCCTCTACCTCTCTCTGCTGCTCTGCCTACTTGTGCTCGCTCTGTTAAATAAATAAATAAAAATCTTAAAAAAAAACCCAAAAAGCTAAACCTATTTTGCTCTTTTCCTTCTCATATCCCATAGACTCATAAATTTTTTTTTTTAAAGATTTTATTTATTTATTTGACAGAGATATAGCGAGAGCAGGAACACAAGCAGGGGGAGTGGGAGAGGGAGAAGCAGGCTTCCTGCCGAGCAGGGAGTCCGATGTGGGACTCGATCCCAGGACCCTGGGATCATGACCTGAGCCGAAGGCAGACGCTTAACGACTGAGCCACCCAGGCGCCCATAGACTTGTAATTTTTACTATCACTGTCCAGTCTGAGAGACTTAGGCACCATCCTCACTTTCTCCTTAAACTCTGCCTGTTGACCACATAGACCTCCCCTAGAATGTTCTACCGCACAGATCCAGGTATGCACCCCTACCCCGTCACTGCCCAAGCCCTGGCCTGCATGTTTGCTGGACTGTTCCAGTTGTGACAGCTGCGTGTTAGTTACCAGAAAGACATCTGATGAGTTCACTCCCTGGCTCAAAAGCTGGCTCTTTGTTGCCCCTGAGATACAACTTCAGCTTCTCAGCAGCGCAGCGTACATCATCCAACCTTTCTGTTATCTTCACCTTTGGCTTGGCATCACTTCAGAATCATGCCCTTTCCAAGCTTTGTGCCTCTTGCCCCCAAATCATCTAAATCATCTCAAAGTAGCTCTGGTGGGACTGTTCCTGTTTTCGCTCCTGTACTGTTCCCACGGTGTCCCCTTTATTCAGCACTTGACTCCCCACCAACCTACGTTCCTTAAAGGCCCTGATGGATACGTTCATTTTTGTATCTCAAAAAATGTCTGCCACATTGCTGGCAGGTGTCCTGGTATACTGCCCATGACGTGGCTGAATTTTAAATAAAGTGAAACCCACAAATTATATGATGCCTTTATTGATTCTAGGCAACTGGCTGAAATAGACTGATTTTAGTACAAGTTCCTTCACCCACAACAGGCATGAAACAGCACCGTTCTCGAAGTCAACCTCTTGCAGTTACTGAAATTCACTTGAGGAGCTTGAGGGCCGTGTTGAAGGGGGCCAGGTTCTCACACGCCCTCATCCACTTCTGCACGTTGGCCGGCACGGTCCCACCACAGCCTCCCACCTGCTGCAGCACCGACCACAGGACCACATCAGCCACGGTGAGTTCATTCCCAACAAGCCAGGGGCTCTTCCCGAGAGCGGAGTTCATGGAGCGGAACACGGCGGCTTTCTCTTTACTGCTTCCCTCTTGTAGCTGAAAGATCGCTATATCCACCCAGCTATCTATGAGGGTTAGAGTTACAGCATCCTGCTTCTGGCCAAACAGAGAGAACAGGAACCGTGCAATGTTCCCTTCTCCTTCGATGGGACACATTGTTTGGACGCTGAACTTCATCTGAGTCTTCGGCACTGAAAGGCAAGAAGCACAGCTTCAGCAACAAAGGGGAGCGGGGAGTCGCTGATCACTGGGAACTGGTGGCAAGGGAAAGAATTTTCACGAACATCACGTTTTATCGGTCTCCAAGACATGTATGATTAAGAAAGTTTACACCGGATGTTTACAGAATGCAAACTCTGTGTTAAAAAAAGTAACCATTTCTGGTTATTTGATTAGGACCGTTTTCAAGCAAGAAGGGACCTCAGACCATCTTTTCCAACCTCTGTGCTTCAGAATTTGCAGGATGAGGACTGGAAACCAGGAATCCCTCTCTACCCTCACAAGGTTCATCTGTGCTCCTTTTCCAGAATTACCCCACACGCTTCCTAGACTCTTAGGGAATTTGACCCGACGGCAAGTAGCCGAAGAACATCACGGTCCTGGCCCCTTGCTGCCTCTCACTAAAGTCAGGGGCCCCGTCTCATTCCAGAGCCTACGAGCGCAGCCAGTGCCCTCTGCTTACCATTCTTCCAAATCAGAGTAAAACCCAGCTGATATTCGTGACGGGGCTGTTTTTTAGACTGCTCGCCAAAGCACCTGAGGAGGTTTTCAGGCACACTCTGGACTGCGGAGTGCGTGTGAACGGTGGACAGGACCCTGTAGTGATCACACAGCAGCCTGTGCAGCACGAGCAGGGCCAGGGGAGGGGAGGCGGGGTTCGCGTTGATCACGATGTCTTTCAGTGCCCCGTAATCCTGCGGGGAGAAAACCCAAACAGCGAGGAACATGAACAGTCACTTGAGTGCGTGGAGTTGTGCCCGGTGCTGTTCTTAGGGCCTAACCAGGGTTGCTGAACAGAATCCTCAACGCCCACTATCACCCCACCTCCCAGCTGAGGAAGCTCGTCCTGGGGAGGCAAATAACCTGCCCAAGCACACTGAGCTCAGGAAGAAGTGCAGCAGGGATGTGAGCTGACTCCAACCCCTTAACCTCTGCACTGCTGGCCCCCACCAAATAAAATGTTGACTTTGCTGTGAAATTAGTAAAACAACACATTAAGAATGACAGTATTCGTTCCTAAGTTATTAAAAAAGAAAACCACACAGTCACTCCATTTACCAAATCTTTCCAACACCTGACCACCTGACAGGATAGTTTCTACATCAATTTGTGTGTGAGTTACGCACACTGTGGGTCAAAATGTCATTGGTGATGGCAAGTGGGCAAAGTCTAAAAAAACTAGGTGTTAACTAAAGGACTAAAACATACTGCCCTTTTAGATGCAGACTTTATTTCATATGTTCGCTCTTAATAACGAACTCCTATAATACCATGGAGGCCAAACTCAAATTCCTTGGCTTTCTGTACACAGCCCACCACGATCGGACTATGAGTCTCACCAGTCCTGACTAAAGCCCGTCACATCATCCTATGATGAATGCTCTGCAATTCTCTGAACACAGCATCACTCAATGCTGTGCCCTGGGACACCCTCCCAGCACCTGAGACACTGGCACAGCTGTGCGTGATCACCAACTTGTCCACCAGACTGGCTCCCTGGGGGCCCGGCCGGGTCTCTGGGTCCTTGGTGCGGGCAAATGTACCGGGTGATCAAAGAACCCAAGTGCAGAGGTGCTGAGGTCACTGGGAGACCCTGCAACCCCGCCTCCACATGTTAGGTCTTCACGCAGGAGCACTTCTACCACCAACTCCAGAGAATTCTTGGGACAAACCCTTTGGTACTCTCAATAACACCACGTAGAAACAAGACATTGTTTTTTGCATATCAGACTGTCACCTAAATTAGCTGAAGCCTGCAGACTGATCTTTAAAGGTGGCGGATGCAACTTAATTCTAAGACTGCAAACCGAACGTAGCAAAAGACGCTTGATCCATGAGGCTGTGGCTGGGCGGCCAACGCTCTGAGATTCAGGCGGCTCTCAGTCAGGATGGACTCACTGAGCCTGAGAAGCACTGAGCTGACACTGGTCTGTTTGTCCTGGCTCGGAGGCTGCTAGAGTGACGCCCACCTCTGGCCTGCATGACACGCCACCTCGAACGGTGGGGAGCTGTAACTCGACTCCTATGCCTGCCTAGGGATCCTCCCAACTCTTCTCCACCAGGTCTGAGAAGTCAAGCGGCTTTAAAACTTGCTTTGGCTTCACTCATAGCTCATGAATTTATTCTGTGTAAAGGCACAATCACTTAGGGGAGGAAAAAAGAACATGCTCTTTGTACCACCTTTGAGAACTAGAAAACCAAAACTTGAATCACAGGAGCACGATTTTCTGGCACTGACAACCACCTAGCCTCTGATGTTCTTTAGCGCGCTCCAGATGAACTCACCGTTCCGAGCACTGAATTTAAGTCCAATGCACTGGTCGAGAAAGCAGTGGGCTCATCAGCTTGGATTATGTTGGTTACATCCACGTCTGCATCTGGTGTCTGAATCATCTTGGAAAGGCCATCAACTGCAGCCTTCAGTTCATACAGACGTTTTAAAATATCATCTTGGCGGGACTCAAGAGCTTGAAGAGATGGGTCAGACTCTTCCTAAACAAACCAACATTGAAACGTTCATTTCCTCTAACAAAACAGCAACGTTTAAATTTGATCACTTCTATTGAATTCCATGAATTCATCAAACCCCCCACCTCTGAAAAGATATTAAAACGAAGCAGCAGAATCATCTTGGTTTTCCCACAGTCCAAGAGGCGCTGCAAACCGATCCACAAATGCTTTAAAACAAAAAAAGTGACTGAAAGCCATTTTGAAGTTGTAGGACTCCTATTTAAGAACAGAGCATGGAAAATGAACCCAAATCATTGTTCTTTGTTCTTTTTTTTTTTTTAAAGATTTTATTTATTTATTTATTTGAGACAGAATGAGAGAGAGAGAGCGCTCATGAGAGGGGGGAGGGTCAGAGGGAGAAGCAGGCTCCCCGCTGAGCAGGGAGCCCGATGTGGGACTCGATCCCAGGACTCCAGGATCATGACCTGAGCCGAAGGCAGTTGCTTAACCGACTGAGCCACCCAGGCGCCCTGTTCTTTGTTCTTAATGCCAAATTAGTTCAAAATACTTTGCTTATTTAACAAATAGAAAAAGATGGGGGGGGGGCAGTGAGAATGTAACTCAGCAATTTATACTAATAGAAGGGAAAATGGGGACCACTAAGGAGGCTGAACAAAATGTGTCATTTGACTTGGAAAGGTAAGTCCATGGGGTCAGAAGATCAATTCCCCACATCATTCTCAATGCAGTACTGGCCCTCTCGTATCTTAGAATCATCCAGAACTTTTTCACTGTTGAAATGTAGAACTTCCTAAGTATGGAATGCTTATGTCCTTTGTTCACTGAATCTTTGCATCTTTCTTGCCTGGTATACTGACTGCTACACAATAAGTAACCAATAATATTTGCTGAGGAAAAAAAATCTCAAATCTTTACACACTTACTTTAAAAAGCACTAACAAGAACCCTCTTGATAAAGTCACAATGTACAACCTATTTCCAGATTCATTAGCTCTCATAACGGATAATCCATTTTGAGCCCAGAGAAGAATATGTTAAGTCCTAACCAAACAGAACCGTCCATATGGCAGGGACCTCGAGTTGTCTGTAAATATGCTGGTGTGGGTACGTGCTGGTAAGCCAGATGTCGCACAACACCGCCCTTTCACAGACTCAATGCATCACCACGTGCTGTCCATTTTCTGGACTCCACTGGCTTCAAAGCTTGCCTACACTGTCACCGCCCAAGTTCAAGACACCACTTTTCACCTGGTCTGCTTCCACTGGCCACCCCTCCAATCCACCTCTAAAACGGCAGCCAGAGAGATTAAAACAACTATGAATCCCATCCCCCACCTCCATGTTAACCTAACAGGCTCTTTGCCGAAAAGGCAAAGCCCTTAACCTGGCTTGGGAAACAGCCTGTATGACCTGTCCTCTGGTCATCTCCTCTCACATAGTGCTGCCCGCTGGCTGTGCTGTCCTTTGGGTCCCTAAAACACACCATGCCCCCACCTGCCACGGGGCTTTTATTCTGTTCCCTCTATCTGCGACATTCCTCCCTCTTCTCCTAGAGCTTAATCTGCACTTTCTCACCTCCCCATGCCTGCCGCTCAAACAGCAAAGACATGAAGATGACTGACCTGTGGGTGGAGCAAAGAAGCATGAAGACTTCAGTGTGCCGAGGAAACAATTAGGTGCCGACCAGAGTAAGTCTGAACGCAAAATGTGACATGCAGGGAGGGGTACCAGTGTGTGGTATCCTTCTGTTCCTCAGTGACAGTCCTCAAGGAGCATGCCAGTCACCTCTAGCCCGCCTGATTTGTGCCTTGTGTGTGCAAGAGCTTGCTCAATTCTACAAATGGCAGTAGGGTCCCTGACGTACCCGGGCAAGGAAGTGCCTACTGGATTCCACGCCTGAGTCAACCCAGTAAACAATGCCTGAAACGAATGCATTCCTACCGTGGCCTGTGACTGGGAGCCCCGCACAGCCTGATTTTACCTGTCTTGATGTGAGAAATGAGGAAATGCTCAGGATCTGCTTTCCCTTGTTTTCCTGCTCAGATTAGATCGTGACTTGGCATATTGTGTTTACCCATTTTATTTTATATGTATTTTAGAAGCAGTTTATTCTTTGTGTTGCTCCTATTTGCCTTTGATATGCTTGCTTTCTAATTATCTGCCTATATTGTTATCATCAAAGGCCAAGAGAGTTAAGCAAGCACACCAAAAAAAAAAAAAAAGGTCTCAAATGAGATGTGACATTTCCAACTCTGGGTCTGGGTTTTGTTTTCAGTTCGGTGAGACTGTCCAGTTGAGCAGCACTGGATCATCGTGCTATTTTGAGCCCAGAGAAGAATATGTTAAGTCCTAACCAAACAGAACCGTCCATATGGCAGGGACCTCGAGTTGTCTGTAAATATGCTGGTGTAGGTACGTGCTGGTAAGTTCCCTAGTGAGACAACTGTATCATTGTTCGCCAACTAACCCAACCACTTGCCTTCCAATCTACGCAGAAGACTTTAGACAAAGTGAAGGAGGGGGCCCCTGGGTGGTTCAGCCAGGCCTCCAACTCTTGATCTCAGCTCAGGTGTTGGTCTAGAGTTGTGAGCTGAAGCCCTGCATTGGGATCCACACTGGGCCTGGAGTCTACTTAAAACGAAGAATAACACCCCAAGGGAAAATGGACTACAAAAATTACTTGTTCCCTCTTCAGCCAGAACGGACCTAAGGTTGTAAACCCAAGATGTGTATTTGCAGCCAATAAAAATTGGGGCTTGGGGCGCCCCGGTGGCTCAGTCGGTTAAGCGTGTCTGCCTTCAGCTCAGCTCCGGTCATGATCTCAGGGTCCTGGGATCCAGCCCTACGTCGGGTTCCCTGCTCAGCGGGGTGCCTGCTTCTCTCTCTCCCTCTGCCTGTCACTCCCCCTGCTTGTGCTCTCTCTACTAAATAATATCTCTAAAAAAACAACCAACCAACCAACCAACCCAGAAAGACTTGGGCAGACACTTTACAAAAGAAACAAGGCGCTCCACTGACTCGTAAGTCTGGAAAACCTGACCTAAAACTACATGAGGCTCCCACAATCCACCCACCAGCTTTGGGGAGGGTGCAAGCACCAGGAATTCCGTGCCCACCGGCCGAGGAGCATACAAACCTGCACACACGCCGCTCTGGGAAGTGGGTTACCTGGTCCAGGTGAAGACGGCCCACCCCCGGGAGCCGGCAATCCCAAGCCCCCAGCCCCCCGGGCACGCCCCAGGCCAGCCCGTGCACCGGAGCGCCCGCCGCACCACCGCTCGCCGCAGCGGAACCGCCCGCAGAGGCCCCGGGAGCCAGGTCAGCGGAAGGCAGCCCGACACAGCGGGGCGCAGGACGCAGACTCAGGACACACTGACCGGGGAAGCCGGGCACTCGGGGCGCTGGCAACGTCCCGTTACCCTGGGTAGCAGGGGTGACAATGGGGTTCGCTTTAGAGTTCCTCACAATTAGCATTCACGTGCCCCTCACTTTTCTGTCCCTACAATTTGGTAGAAAAGCTTTAGTAGCCATAAGCGGAAAAGGAAATAGATACAAGAGGAACAGCTCTTTCAATAGACACTGCGCGCACACGGAACTGGCGAGAGCGTGAGCCCGGGGTACGGCAGCCAGGTCGGACGCCAGGGTTCGAGCCTCCCAACCCCACGGGCCCGGCCGCGGCGCCTGCGCGCTGGGCGGGAGGCGGGCGGGTGAGATTAGGCGCCTGCGCACTGGACGGGGTGGGAAAACTTACGTTCAAGAGGGTGGGGGCGGGGCGGGCCGCGCGCTCCTACCTGCACGTGGCCTGCGTCCGGCGCGGGGCCGCCTGTCCTGCCGTGCACGTTGGGGAGCCGGTACATGCAGGTGGGAAGCTCTACACGGAGAGACGCGCTGCCCCCGTGATAGGGCTTTACCTGGTACATCGGCATCGTGGGAGCCGAAGGACGGAAGGTGGCAGCTGAGGGACACGAACACCCAGAAACCGCCCGAGACCAGGAGCGACTGCGGCCACCTTCTTTCCGATCCGGCTGCGGCCTTTCGGGAAAGCGCAGTCCGTGTGGTCTAATTGGCTCGCGCCCTGTGGACGTCACGACCTCGACTTTTTACACAACCAATCGGCAAGAAGGAGGCGTGGGAAGCGCCCGCTGTCCCACCCGGAAGGGGCGGGGCACAGTGTCGGAAGCAGCCAATGGGCGGCAGGAAGCGGAGCCCCCGTGGGAGCGGCGGCAGAAACCGTCCCGAGTCCCGGAGGCGGGTCAGGTTCTGGATCCATGGAGCGGGCCGAAGGGCCGAGGTGAGCGGTGCGTGCAGTGTCCCCTCGCGGTCGCCCTCCCTGAGGCCCACGGCGTTCCAGACCCCGGGAAGGGAGGGGAAGGAGACCGCGGCGCTGGGCGAACCCGCTTGGAGGCCCCGGAGCGGGCTCCTCGGCGCTCCCCGGATCCGCTGGCCTTTGGGGGCGCTTCGCGGTCGGGGTGGGCGGGGAGATCCGTCCCGCTCCCAGGCAGGCTCTGCCCAGACGTCTGGACGCGTCCGTGGACTGCAGCCGGAGCGCGACATCCCAGGAAACTGAACTCCTTTCCTTTCTACCTGGTTTCTTTCTCTCTCTCTTTTTTTTTTTTTTGAAAATTGAGGTTTTTGCGGGGAGGCTTCAAGACACATGCTAATTTGCGTAGCCGCACAGTTTTTAAAAATGCAGAACTTCGCATCCCCTTGAGTATGTCACTGCTGGCTGGTAACCCAGTTCGGAGGGGCGAATCTCCGGCTAGCGCTGCTGCGTTCAGTGTCAGGTTCCTGAACCCAAATTCGCTGTCCGTGTGTTTAAATGTTTGATTCCCCCGTCCTCAAAATAAATATTGGAAGTGGATTTGTGGCCTATGGTGTGTTGCCAAATAAGCAAGAGTCGGAGAAACTTCTTTCCATTTTGTGTTGTCATCTGCAGTTTTCTTATTTAAGGAAAACCTGAGTGAAATTTTTTGCAAGGTAGACCGAAGAGTAAGGTTGTTTGTTGCTTATTTTATAAGGGTTTATTGAGGGTCTGCTGTGTGTTAGCAGTTGTGGGAGGCTACCCAAAGATTTCTCTCTCGCAGGGAGGCTCCTGGGTTCCATTAAACCCACATTACCAATTAAGCCGCTTACAAGAAATTGCTAAATTAGTGAACATAAGGAATGCATTCTTTTTTTTTTTTTAAAGCTTTTCTTTTCTTTTTTTTTTTTTTTTAAAGATTTTATTTATTTATTTGAGAGAGAGAGTGAGAGAGAGAAAGAGCACAAGAGGGGGGAGCAGGAGAGGGAGAAGCAGACTCCCTGCTGAGCAGGGAGCCCGATGCGGGACTCGATCCCGGGACTCCAGGATCACGACCTGAGCCGAAGGCAGTCGCTTAACCAACTGAGCCACCCAGGCGCCCCAAGGAATGCATTCTTGGGATGAGCAGGAGTTTGCCAGGCAGAGGAGGAAGAGGGGAACGGTCTAGACAGACCTGTATAGACAAGGTGCAGTGTCTAAAAGAGCTTGTGATATTCAGGCAACAGTTTGCTGTGACTAGAATATAGGTAGAATTGGTGAACAGAGGATTGGAGAGAATGAGAGAAAAGTAGACGGGGGTCTGGTTTTTCTTTCTTTCTTTTTTTTTTTTCTTTTTTTAAAGATTTTATTTATTTATTTGAGACAGAGAATGAGATAGAGCATGAGAGGGCCAGAGGGAGAAGCAGACTCCCCGCCGAGCAGGGAGCCCGATGTGGGACTCGATCCTGGGACTCCAGGATCATGACCTGAGCCGAAGGCAGTCGCTTAACCAACTGAGCCACCCAGGCACCCTGGTTTTTCATATGACTAGATTTTCATATAGCAGACAGTGGAATGCTAGTAGATGTTTTTTTTTTCTAAAGTGTATTTTTTTTTAGTAATCTCTGCACCCAATATGGGGCTCAAATCCAGGACCCCGAGATCAGGACTCCCATGTTCCTCCAAATGATCCAGCCAGGCACCCCTATGCTAGTAGATTTTTTAAGCAGAGAAGTTATTTGTCCAGGTGTGTGATTTCTGAAGTAACTGGTGGTAGCATGGAGGGTGGTTTGGAATAGGGAGAAAGTAGAAACAAACTGGTTGTATAACTCTTTAAGTAGGTACAGCAAGAACTTTAGGGGTTTTAGCCAAAACAGCAGTTGATAGCCTGGATTTGGAAGGGAGATTCAAAGGCTCCTGTGGAAATAGTTATATAACAGGTACCCAGTTTCTAAGATGGTTTTGATTTTCACATAAACACTGTGTATTTCCTACCATACCCTTGGGTTTTCAAATCAAGTGAGAAGTGTTGCTTTCACTTTTCAGAAGAAGATCCCATTGTTGCCAAAGATTATTGACCCGTAGGTTGAGGGGTACATGTGTTTCCTCCATGTAGATCCCAGCATAATTAAATTTCTGAATATCCATTGCATTGGAAGTGTCTATTCAGAAGATTTTTTTGACAGAAGTGTAAGACTTGTAGGACAACATTTATATTTGTGAATGTAATAGATGGATATGTTAATCTAATAAACGAATGCGTTAGACACATTAACTATTAACAGAGATGAATCATTTCCTGCAGTTAAAACCAGGATGAAAATACATAAATGCATACTCACTTTGTTTCTTGTAACTGGTGTCTTTAGTACAGAACTTGCTAAGGCCATCAAACCTATCGATCGGAAGTCAGTCCATCAGATTTGTTCTGGACAGGTGGTACTCAGTCTAAGTACTGCTGTGAAGGAGTTGGTTGAAAATAGTGTGGATGCCGGGGCCACTGCTATTGGTAAGTTTGGGAGAGTTTTAAGCCACAGGGAACCATCAGTTTATACTCTTTTATTCAAGAAACATTTGTGATTGTAATGAGACAATCAAATGTTGGTATCCTGAGAAATTTTATTTTTTAAACTTAAATTTAGCATCTCTTAGGTACCTAATACTTAGGTGGATAGTAGTAATAATAAAAGCAGTTAACGTTTATCATGTTCTTACTAATGTGCCACATGGCTATTTTTAAGATGCAGAACAACCTTATGAGATAGGAATTATTGTTGTTGTTATATTTTATCTGTTTTACAAATAAGAAAATGAAGGCACAGGAATTTACTTTTTTTGAGGTTCTACAGCTAGGATAATATTCTGGGAAGTCTGATTCCATAGCCTAATCTCTTTAATGACTATGTTAAAATTACCCTTTTGAAAGAGAGAGGAAGGAAGGAAAGAAAATAAAACTATTTTATCTGGGTTAATAAATTGCCAAGAAGACCTTTAAAAAAATGAAATATACCAAATGACAATAGTACATTGAAGTGAATATAGTTATGGCTCATCTTTGCATTAGGTAAGTTATAAATAAATACTGTCAGTATAAAGGCTTTTAATGCATCAGTTCTTTGAGAAATTAATATGTTAAACTTTTCAGATCTAAGGCTTAGAGACTATGGGGTGGATCTCATCGAAGTTTCAGACAATGGATGTGGGGTAGAAGAAGAAAACTTTGAAGGCTTAAGTAAGTTGGATTTTTCTAATCCTGTTTTAAAATATCTGGGCAAAATGTTTCAAAAACTTTGAGTAACACTGTCTTAGGAAACACAAAATGACTTTTTAAAAACCAGTTACTTTGGTAGGTATTGTGAATATTCAGTGGCATATCACTTGAGACATCTTGGGTCTTACTGTGCACCTCTCTTTCAGCTCTGAAACATCATACTTCTAAGATTCAAGACTTTGCTGACCTAACTCAGGTTGAAACTTTTGGCTTTCGGGGTGAGGCTCTGAGCTCACTTTGTGCACTGAGGTGATACAATATTTTTGTCTACTAACTTGACCCCTCATAAAAATCTCTCTGAAAATGAAAACGTATGGATTAGAGTCATTGCTTATACTTTTCCATCCTGAAATGCCTCAAGCTCTAACTTCCACATTCCGTTTTATCTTACTGCCAATCTGCGTGGTAATACTTCTGAAATGTAAGCAATGAAGCGAAGTAAATAGTCTTGTAAAAGAATTGTTGCCCTTGTTAAAGCAGTAACTTCTCAGTGTCAAATAGCACAAAGACTATAAGTTACAGACAGGTCGGTTTTAATTTATTAAAACATTTAGGAAAAAATTTAACCAAAGTTCTTATTATATATAACAGATTCTAAATTTATGTGAATAATTATTTATACATTGGAGCTATAATATTTTTGGATCCTTGTGTTAGAACTGTAGGAATAGGGCGCCTGGGTGGCTCAGTTGGTTAAGCGACTGCCTTCGGCTCAGGTCATGATCCTGGAGTCCCGGGATCGAGTCCCGCATCGGGCTCCCTGCTCGGCAGGGAGTCTGCTTCCCCCTCTGACCCTCCTCCCTCTCATGCTCTCTGTCTCTCATTCTCTCTCTCTCAAATAAAAAAAAAAAAAAAAGAAGAACTGTAGGAATAAAACTGAGAAATATATCTTTATTCATTAATATATAAGCTTTGAGTTCTTTTGTTTTGCAGTTAATCCAAAAAACAAATATTGAAGCTTTTATCAAAACAGAACATTTACAGAACTCTCTGTCTCACTGTCTGTTAGGTGCGAAGCCTTAGATTCTACGATGACTCCTCACTCATAGAAACTTTCTTGGATGATCTCAGAGGGATCA